AGAACATGGAAGATACGAAAAAAAGAAACCCAGCGGTTGAATGGCTACGTTCTCGCTACGAGACCGGACTGCACTGATCACAGTCCCTCACATAGTCACTGGGATGTGGTGTCCAAGATTCCCAAACAAGGCCGAGACGTCTGCACAGTGAGTGGAGCTTTGCAATCAGTCTACAACAGACATAAGATGGTGACGAAAACTAAAGTCAAACCATTCTATAAAGCTAATTGACCGACTGCAAACCACGTTTACCCACGAGGACAATAATGGGTAAGTCAACGAAACCAGTAAATACTCACACACGGATTCCTTTTCATGTATTTAGAAAGAGCAATAACAGCTAGAGTAACCGAGAAATCTGGGATAACTAAGCCAATATTTTTGTTACTTGTATTCGGGGAAATTTCCATTGGATTGTGTAAATAAAGTGGTATCCTGTTGCCATTCACCAATCTTTCTCCAATACGCCTCTATTAAAGACCTTCAATATATCAATATATCTCTCCATCTCGGTTACTGATGGAAATTTTGTCTTCATTCAGTGAATAAAGGTATGCTGAATTTTTAGCAGGACTATATATCTTTACATTAAAGGTTGTGAGCACGACATACCACGTAAATAAAATGCATTCCACTTATTTCCTGCCATTGTTGTTAATGCCTTTCATGAAATCATGAAACGGAATTCGTGTGTCAGTATTTACTAACTTCTCTGACTTACCCAGTACGTTTCCGCGTTCCTTATAGCCCGCTCTGGGAAGCGGTTACATGTACTCACCAATATCCCAGAAGTCGGTTATGGAGTGGTAGCATACTTCGCCGCAGAAAGCATGACTGAATCCTACTATCACACAGTAGTAGCTAAGGCCAGGGTTTACCCTTACCAAAATGCAAACGAAGCCACATATGAAACTCACAATGGCTGTTTTAGGAGCTAGCCTCAGTTCTCAACTACAGACGGAATTATATGTAGAGCTTTTCCGAAGTATGTTTCTGGACGTATGTACACATAGTGTTGCGTCACGTCAAAAACAAGGATGATCAGTCAGGAACCTTTATGGCAAACCGGATTGCAGTGATCCATAACCTCACTAACGTTTCTCAATGGAGATATGTACCACCAACGCAAAATATCGCTGACTTTGTATCTCTTGGAATGGTTTTTAAGGATGAGGACTACATTATATGGTGAGAAGTTCATCTGTTCCCCATCAGTGGCCCTAAGGCAAGATGGTTAATCAATGATACTGAAAAGCGACCTACATGTTGGTCGCTAGAATTTGAAGGCGTGACAACGGTTGATGTGGCCTTCGGGGATTATAGTTTGGATCTGCTTCTCAATCAAGTTGCAGACTGAATAGAACTTCTCAAGGCTGCTGCTGTCCATAGGCTATTTCTTGACGTTCTATGGGGAGAGAACCAAAGAATCTTTAACTCTAAGTACTTTAAAGACAAATAAGCTACGACAAACAAGTTCGGACTTCATGAGAATGGTTCAAGCCGAGGCGTTTAGCAAGCAACTGGCTGTCTAAAGGATGAAGTTCATCAGAATTGATGAAGTAAGTGAAGAGAAATCGTCACGACAAATGTCAGCCAATTTTAGATGAGGTCTTCTGCCAACTCTCCATCAACTTTCAGCTGTGTAACAACAAATCACTTGGGTTTTTTTGCCGCGAGATAGCCGCATGGAACTCAATAGCTTGATGTTGTTGCTTAGATCCGGCGACCCTCCATAGACCGCCACGCCACAATTAGCAGATGCTATATTTCTCGTCAACACTCATCTAGTCGGGACGAACTGGTCGACGTTGCAATTCATATGAGTTTACGGTTGCGTATTTAATGCTGACACGTCATCAACAGGATTAATGGTGAATGGCCAACTGATTGAGATCTCCGAAGATTCGTTTAGCATTAAAATCTACTGTTTCAACATCCGGAATTCGAGCGCTGATGGTCAGGATCTATACGTTCCATTGAAGAGCTGTAGAAACGGTCACACACGAAAGTGGGAAATATGGAATGCTAAGTTATCGACCTAGATGCAAAGGACAAGATGTTAGCCAAGTCATAGCCCATCACACCCCTAAATGTGAGGTGATAAGCTTCATCTTGAATGATCCGATATTCTGGGCAAATAAATGGAGATCCCCAGTTGTAAGAGATTTCAACGTGGTATGCGTTGATTGGAACAGCCTAACAACAAAAGCGTCGCGGAATTCTTTCGATTATGGGTTAACGGAAAAACGAACTTACTTGGCTGTTACGCAGTACGCCAGGGCAGCAATCCGACACGATCGTCAGCATAATCCATTAGTCCTAGACTTAGTATTCTCCCACGTAGATAACGTGAGCTTCTTCCCAAACATTTTACCTCCCGACACAAGTAATCACGATTTGGTCACCGCTAAGTTCTAACTAGCTGTCCTGCGTCGGGCTAACGCCCCAAGCAGACGGAATATGTGGAAAGAGAACACGGCGGCTATTATCCCGGTAGCTTTCCCCAAGGATTCGACCACCCCTCCAGAGCGTACAGTGAGACAGTTGTACCTACTGTGACCTGACCATTTATTCCACATGCTTTCCAGCTGTGGGAACACTAACCTTTGCGAATGGACCATGAAATCCGTGACTCACTAAGGTGGAACGAAATGTGTTGGTGTCTACACGCCTAAACTACTGCTTCTCAGGCAAATAAGAATTAAAAAGAAGCCCGAAATAAATGTATAGCTGTAACCTGCCAATCCAGAATATGCGCTGGAGCTAGTTACGCTCACACTGCAGCGCAGTGCCTAAAGAGGCTATTTTCTTACATGAACTACAATATCGAAACTTATTGTAGCACCCCCGTGAGAATCGAAGACGACTGGGACTGCATTTTTGTCTTAGGCCTTTGGTGGTTAGATTTAGGCCGCTTTTCGACAGAGGAGCACTCGTCTACGACTGGAAGGATACGACAATTACACTGGTCTGCAACGCAGGTTCGAGACAGCACCCATCAAATTACAGACCGACAAACTCAACTAGTACTGTAGCAAAAGACCTGAAGGCGTAGGCAGGAGGCACTATTGGTTCACCTGGAGAGCAGCAGTCAACTGTCCCACACAAAATACCGCTTTCGCAGGTACTTTCCCCCAGCCTGACGGGATGCACAGTCAGAAAAAGATAAGTCTGGTGATGATTGGATAGCTGCAGGTGCCATCTTCATGAGTTATCGTCAGGTATTCGGCAGAGTACCTCATTCAAGGCTGCTCATGAAACCAGAAAGTTTAGGAAGCACTGGTATTCTACTTAAATGGATCCCAGAGGTCCTTGGTAGAAGGGGACAAATGGAAAGGATCAGCTCTCAACTCTCCTCTTGGAAGTCTCTGGAAGTTTATGAGCCGCAATACATAGTCCTGGATCCCCTGTTATTTCTCCCATGCGTAACTGAACTATCAAAACCACGAAATCCCATATGAATCTCTGTGCTGATAACGCAAACATCTTGCGAGAACCAAGGACGACGGGGGTGTGGGTGCACTTCAGGTACACCCAACCGGTTTGTTAACCTGGTCACACAAATTGCCGTTGCTTATCAAAGCAGGTAAAAGGAAGCAGGCGTGTAAGCCGTACAAATCGCAACAAGTACGAATTGGTGGGACTCCTCGACCTTCCGTTCCAACCAACAGTTACCTAGAAATCACAGTAAGTCATGATCTGAAGAACCCAGTGCACTGTCAGTTGGTCACAACCGAGAAGTGTAGGGCGCTTTCGGGTTCACATAGAACGTTCTCTATCTTCGTACCAAAAATTTGAAACCTGAGTCTGAAATGATATGATATGATAACATATACCAAACAACCAGTTGCTGGGAAGGTGGACGGATTAAAAGCATCTTAGCAGAGTCTCATAAATAGTAACAATATTCTGATTATCAAAACGACTGCAGCTGCTACATCCGACCAACCCAAGTCTCCAGTTTATGCAACGGAGGCTAAATTTTGACCGCATCAGTTCACATGATGATTGCAGTCAGCACCATTTTGACATCGCTGCTGCACAGGCTTTAAAGATCTGACCAGAAAAATGCCATAAATGCTGAGTTCCAGGTGTGAAGTTGTTATTGGTCTAATGACATGTTGAGTCATGGCAGCAAATACAAAAGTGCATAAGATATCCGTTGAGAAATTCAAATCGAGATCACTGTGGCTTCATACACCTCTGTAAAATAAACAGCCTATGGTTCGGTGAGATTCAACATTAATGCTAACCTTCATAGTTTCGCCGAACTCGCTAAGCCGAAAGCACCCAGTCAGGTGTCTACGCCATTCGGCACGCTATCGTGTTACGTTGCACAGCTCCTAATCGACCCCCTATCCAGTCAGTTGGAGCGCATCGGTTTCTTGACACTATTTCATCCGACTACTCTATCGTGTTCTTCCTTTGTCTCGTATTTGTGAGTATGTAAGGAGTAGGAAAAATTAGTGATTGGCCTCTGCGTCTGTCAAGTTCGCATTATGATGTTCGTAAATCATGCTTTCTCCAGCGATAATCTGTTCAAAATCCCAAACATATCGAAATCGTAACATTGTCTTATTCCGAATGTCTTTTTATGTTGGCGTTTTAATTGCATAGCTTGAATGAACTCATTTCGCTTGACGGTAGTTGGTTTTTATTACGTCTTTGTGGGACTAAACGTGCTTGTTAATGATATTTCTCAGAAATTCCTTCCGTGGGTAAAAAGAAATCTGTACCCGATGTCTTACATGATTTTTCTCGTAATTACCAATATTAGGCCTAATTCGGCTTGAGTTCAGATGTTAAGTATGATGTCTCAGAGTTCACTGTTAGAAGTTTCGAATGAAATTTTTATTGTTGCTTGAACAGAAAATAAGTAACTAAACCATTTCAATTGTCTTTTTAGATATTTATATATTGGTGAGGAAAATTACAATATTACCTCCCTTCCCTTGTTACAACAAACTAATTTGTGTTGGCTACTACAAGCAACAGTTAGTGTTTTTTATGAATTTTTTGAAACGATATTGAAGCTGGTAGTATGATTGAGTTGTAAATGAATGATATATTTTCACCTTTACTGATCTTTATTGTTCGAATAGAAAGAAATCTAGGCGTAGGTGGTATGTAATGATGAAAAATGCAGCCTTATGAAAACCAGCTACACCCTAGGATGTTTAAGCGCACTTTGGAACTTTTGAACAAAACTTTGGGCACAGTTTGACAAATTTGGAAGTTTTGGCCAAAATTTTTGACATTTTTGGACGCGAAGATACGTTTCCGACAGTAATCCCAAGGTTTTTAGTGCTGTTTTCTACCCAAAAGTTCCAAAGTGTGCCCAAAGTATTTCCCGGTTGGGCTCAACGTTGAGAGTGTAGCTGGTTAACAGTCTCGCTCTTAGTCGAGAAATCATCAGGGTATCCACAAAGAAGGACTTGGGACTAAACTTTCTGACACTGGATACGAGTGCCAATTACAAGAGAATGGCAGCAAAGGCGAACTCCGTCATGCATTTTCCAAGAAAGAGCTTATAACACACTAACTCCAGAATTACATCTTATAGTATTTAAAACCTGTGTTAGACCGTACCCAGGGATATTCAACAAAAAGCTGCCCTTACAATAAAAAATGACGTGAGTACTCTAGAGAAGGTACAGAGAAGAGCCACAAGGTCGGTAGTCAGACTAACCGAAGAAACATATGTACAACACCTTTGGCAAACCAACGTATTCAGATTAAGCTATAGAAGGGAAATAGTTGATCTAACAACAACCTGCCAGATCACTCAATGAGTGGGCCACCTCAACGGGTCAACATTATCAACCCCAAGCCAACCGTCTCTCGGGAACCTCATCCACATACCCCACCACATGACAAAGACGTGACTGAGACCAAACGTCTCACATACAGTATGGGGTTTGTGAAACTGTTTGCCGAAGGAAGTAGTCACACCTTCATCAGTTGACTTCTTAAAACGACTGATGGATAAATACGTGAGCACAACCAGCTCACCAACTCTGAATTCCCCAACCCTAGTATCTGCAATAAAACCCATCTCTCCTCCCTATTATTATCAGTAAAGCTTATTTTTTGTAAGGACCTTTCACTCCTCTTTTTTTCATTCTCCACCTGCTCTATTTCTTGCGCTACCTTTTAAGTAAGCCTTGATACTTACTTGCAGGTGCTTACAAAAACAGGATCTGCAAAGGGTTAGTTGATCTTATTAGCTGCTGTGTTGCTCCCCCAAACAAATTAGGCTGCAACTTGAAAAAAAATACCCCGAAACAGACAGTCACTACCTCCAGGGTTATAAGGAGGGAAACTATAAGGACTTCCGTGACCCCTGAAGGAGTATAATGAAACAAAAGGAGCTGAGTCTCGAGACCTAGAAGCGGGAGCTTAAAAACTAAAAGTTTCCTCTACTCGTACTTATGATGTTGGGTGTTGGGACTATGTGTTGTAATATGATTGTTGGGGTTATTACACGTTCAACTGCACACTAGTGTCATGTGTGTGATGTACCCTGTTCATGGTTTTAGCCAGCTGTACCACTGCTTCAGGTGAGTAAAAGGCCAACCTTCACTTTTGCTTTAAAGCAAATTAGACACATCGTGATGTGCACTTCTTGGGAAAATCCTAGTTCATAGTTTTGGGGGATGTAAATCAAACTTTTCAAAACCTTGTTGTTAAATTGCTACTGTTTTCACTCAGCTGTATATGAGAATCGGACGTCAACAATCTATGTGTAAATGCTATGTATTCAACTTATTCAGCTTGTTTATGCAGATCTGCATTGATTTTTAAGTTTACACTTTGTATGTGCACACATTCTTGCTGAGATGTATCCTCAGCATTACTGAATTTCAGTTAAATTTTCCATAGTCATTTGAAACGTTGTTCCTTATTGTCGTATTATTATCGTATTTATGAAAAGAACATGAGGTAGACGAAGAACTATTCAAATGTGGCTCCGTAAAGCTGTGCTAAGTGTGTGTTATGTCTGGACATCACACACCAAATAGATAGACTTTCCTGTTCGGTAATGCAATATCAGCTCCTTCGTTAACATATGACTGATAGTTACTGTGAGACATTAACTGACGTTTCCTTCATTTTAGTTGACTAAAATTTTGCATTCTATGGTAGCCACCAGATGTTGGTAGGTTTTCTTCTAGCCTGTACGTAGATTTGTTGTTACAGGGGGCGCGTAGAGGAGTATGAGTACAGTGGTGACCATGAGAATAAGGAAGGAAAAAGCGTGGGCCGACGAATCAGCAAGTACACTATCATAAGAGGCGTGTTCTGTTCTAGTAAAGCAGTTCATGAATTGAATAACTGTGCACCATTTAGCCTTCCATAAGGATTCTGAGTTAACTTTCTGGTCTTCTTTAAGGACTTTGAAGTTACTTGTCATTATTTTGGCCAGGCATACATTGGGTGTGGCTAGGTTGTCAGCTCAACATATTATAGCAGATATTAACTTTTAGATGATAACGATATTGTCATTTCGCCCAGTGTACCGAAGGAAACTGACGGAGATTATTTGTTCTGAATCCAAGGAGACTGGTTTGCGAACAAGGATTTAACTAGTTAGTTTTGTCATGCAACCTGCCTAACATGAATAGAAGAAGGAGGACCTTCACACTTTCGAAACTTTTAATCGAAAAAGTTGGTGGTACGTAAAAGACAGTTTCATTCATATTGACTGACCGTTCAGTATATATACTACTTGATGTATACATTTGTTCAGGGACTTAACACTCTAGACGACATCATTGGTATAGAATTTACGAACAGTTGAATGAGTGTAAAGCAAGGCTTTGTATTTTGCAATCCAGTTGACGAAGTAGCAGTTCACAATATTCTGTATCATCTGAAACTCCTGTATTCTTCTCATACGGGATACACTAAGTACCTCCATGAAGTAATATATTGGTTTTACAAACAGTAAACACTTGTAATTCAGAAAAGTGCGAAGAAACTGTGTTGTTGACTCACTACTACGAGTTATGAGCACTTCAAGTTAATATGTTGTAAAATTTAGAACTTATTTAAAGCATAGACAATCTTATTGATTACTGTAACTCATTGAGGTTAGCGACACTTCTTGTTCAGAAAGGAACCATTTGATGTCGTTTCTTAGAAATCAACGTCGGCTTGTTCAAAGGTTCACATTTGACTCAGTCTTTCATAGCGTTTTTCAATTTGTTGAAAGCACCAAGAGACTAGAGATGTTGGTGCAGAAAAATCAACATAAGTGAGTTACTACTATTCAATTGCTCTGACTAACTTGCTTGTTCGCCTGGTGGAAAATATTGTATGCAACGCTTTTACGCACCATATTGTTTGAGAAAGAGTTATTTTCACTAAACAACATTTGCTTTTCGTTAGTATATCTTGCTGTATGAAGTTTGTGGCTAGTGAGAACTTGGATGATACTGGAAATAAAATTTCTTATAGTGCCAGTTAATCTGTGTGATACTTCATACCTTTTCTCATTCAGTAGGTGAAAAACCCTTCAATCGTATGTAAGTTAAGGACTTACAATCATTTTTGTGTCAATGAGTGGAAAGCGAGAGCTCTGGAACCTTGAATTTGTGGTCTTATCGTTCTTATTGATACTAGTGAACAGTTTCCATCAGATGATTTGTGTGGTGAGTCAGAAAATGAGACGCTTACATCGCTGCTCTACTTAGATAAGGTTTTAATACTGCTGTTGTGCATTCATTTTTATGTTTGCTTAAAATTTGAATTATCCTCATACAACTAGCTTCTTCAGAGTAATATTTAACTAACCAGCATCTTTATCTCGCGTTCCCAGCATCAATTTTATGGCCAAATAGTTCCTTAGTCTCATAATTTATCATACTTTATAAGGTTTTATACAGGGCATGTAATTGCATGATTAGTTTGAAACAGAGTTCAGGGTAACAAGACCAAGATACTTCACCATCCTATAAGGTCTGTGACTGCTAGTTTGAGTTGCCTAGGGAGGCACAGACTACCTGGTTGGGGTACTTCAGATCATAGGAATCACTGGTTGAGGACTGTTTGTGAAGTGGCTGAAAATCAATCGCAATGACACAGTTGTATTCACACTTTGACGTCTTATAAGTTTTCTCTTCTCCTATACACCTATTTTGTAATTTGACATAACTTCTTCTATCAACCCGTTCTTTATGTACTATTGTGAAGTGTAGCAACTTGGACCGATGCACTTCTGTGCAAGGTTCTACGCTGATTTTGTCTGTCTCCCACACAAAAGTTATCATTATTTGAAGTTTTATTCGCTGAAGGTTAATGAGGGATAAACAAAAATTCTTTCACGATATATCGTGACCTCTATCCAATGGCGTCGTTCAGCAATTATCTTCACTTTCAACCTGGTTGGCCGCACCAGTTGCGACTTCTTATTTGAGATTTTGGAATCACATTCCGAAGCAAATCACCAATGAGCCTTAGGTTAATTCAACTTGGAGGTTTGTGGGGATTTATTTATTGATTTCAGTCTGGTAGTCATCATGGACTGATGTCAGCTAAAGAGACAATGGAAACCTTGAAGCATTGGGCAGCTGTCTCGTCCTACTTTGGGACTCCTCAATGGTGTGTCCCCATGACCCATCCAGATATCGAACCAAGGACCTTCAAGTTCCGTGGTCAGTGGTCCTAGTTTCTTCAACCGATGTCAATCCATGATGAATTCCAAACTTAAAACAATAAACAAATCCTCACAAGACTCGGGACTGAAACAAGTCTTTCAGTTTATGAATACTTGTCGAGAATATATCTAGAAACTCAAAAAGATAGGTATCAGTGGATGTTGAAAAGACAGTTGAGCAAAGTTGGGTAGGGGTGGTGGTTTCAAATTTTAGGCAGACTAAAAGATGAATTGATTTGCATCATTGTTCTCTGCAAACTGAAGAAGTCCAAAGACTTAGTTGAAGCACTCACTGTAGGACAGATCTTTATTCTGCCTGAATTGGAAACTCTTTTTTTGTCAAGCAAATGTCTCTGCCCTGTACAAATTTCTCATCACGTGATTTTTTCAAACAACTCTCATTCTGGCAATTTACTTGATTGTAGCTAGCAGAGGAGTCCAAGATGCTCGTTTCCTCCTGACCGGGACTCGTCAGCTGGATGTACTTGCACCCCAGTAAGTGATATTGTTCCCATTGAGACTCGAACCTCATAATCATAGCTTCAAACACCAAGGAGTTATCCACCAGGCTACAGAGGAACGATAGTCATCTCTTGTACAACGGGTATTGGTTGTTACTATAAAACGAAAATCTACAAGTATATCAACAAATAGTAATAACTCTCATCCTGTTTAATAGTGTATAGTACTTTCTACGCTTTCTGTTTTCTTTTTGTTACAGCATTGGTTGTTTTCTGAAGTAGAATGAGACGGAATGCTCTGATTTTAATCTCTTCTAGGGAATATTATCACCAAATATTCCTCCATTTTACCGATTGGTGATATCTGAGACCTTAACCGAATTATAGGTTTCAAGATAATGAAAGAATTGAAGGTTGTAAATCTGCAGAACAAAACTTTGAAGCGATATATTGTCGAGGAAATCAAAGAGAAATATTTCTGTTACAACAGCACCACCGCCACCACCAACAACAACAGAAGACATAACATACTGAAACTTCAAAAGCTGTGCATTATTCTATTTAAAACAAAGTTTGCCAATAGGTAATTCATTTAAATATGAATTTTTATTATTAAAGACATGCACTAGAAAGTTTGGATGTTCCATCTCTGTTTGCTGGCGTTTCATTTTTTAACTTTTCCATTGGGTTAATCGACTTCAATATATTTCCCGAGAATTTTTTAAACAGTCTGTTATCTACCACAGTTATGGTAGGTTGAAATTCTACCGAATTTTGAAGTTAGCCAGTTACTTTCTTGGGTATTCGATGAAAAAGCAAGCGAAACCACCTTCAATTCTATTCATAGAGGTAAGATGATCATAATTATTATTTATTGTGTTATTAGGCAAAGATTTAAATGATTATTTAAAGCCTGAAATAAGAAGAAAACACTTCATATACTTATTATCAGATTTCATACAGAATCTCTTCATTTCCCACTACTACTCTGATACTTTTACAGACGTTTGTATAATAAAGGTGAGTTAAGAGAAACAGTTGATCACCTTATTTTTGATGTAAAGATTTGATTGATATTTTGTTGAACGTTTTCTGAGGTAGTCAGGAGTAGGAATGTACCTCGTAGGCTTAAGACTACTATAGGCATAAGGTTGGATGGGAAATAATTTCTGCTTTCCTTGAAATCTTTTTCTAAAATACTAGGAGTTTTCTAACTTCGTCAAACTTATGTTAGTTATATTGCCAATTAATATAACGTCATATTAGTAAATGTGTATCTTCATTATCATTCTGACTATCTGAGATAGTCGTGGTTTGGCAAACCAGTGTTTATAGTGGACCCTCTAGCTCAGTTGGTAAAGCATCAGGCCGGAAACCCTATGGTTGCTGGTCCGATTCCGGTCGCAGTCCAAGTTTTCACTTCACCTTCAATATTTACCTAGTATAAATTATGTATTTCACTAATTGTGGAAATGAAGTTTTGAATATGAGTAACAAAATAAGACAAACTGTTACTCAGTCTAATTTACATAGCCTATTCTAGTTCAGGAAACATAATCCCACTCATTCTAGTAATCAACAAAAGATCCTACCTTGTTTTTGTGTTTGTTTTCTATTTATTGATTGGATCAGCTCACAATTTCATCTGCATAAAGATGAGTTAAAACATTATCATTATATTATTTATAAGTAGTGATAAACCTACTGTAAGATTAAAATATTTTCATGGGTAAGAGACTACAAATAAGCTCCGAGTATTTCAGTTTCGAGGTTCCTAGATAGGGGGGAAATAAATGGTCGCATTTTCAAAGAAACCTGAAATGTAACCACACTGACAGAATGACAGTATTTGAACAATGCAAGAACAAAGACATTTGTTGAATGAAATAACCTCATTTCATTCCACTGCCTTTCATCAGCTGCAAACAGTCTACAGTTGAAATAAAGTATTAGTAGTAGTGATGTCATAACACACCTTAAAAATGCAGAAGTGAATGAAGATTCGAAATCCAGGATTAACAATAAGGTAGTAGTGAGTCAAGGAAACACAAGACTGATCATCACAAACCTTAGTCAAATTCAAAGGCAATTTATATCTCATGAGATAGAAATCCTGGAGCTTTGGAATTCGGGGAGGAGGTATACCAAACAAACTTCAGTGTGGAAAAAAAAATTGCTAAAGAGTTGGCAGATTACGCAACTACATTATAAACTGGAAAATCGTCAAGTGGTCAGTAGCCAGCAAGTAATTAATGAAGGTGGTGAACACCAACCTGAAATCAATAAGTCTATTGCTTATCGGTGATTAGCTTCCAGAAGTGATTCCTGTAGTTTCAATGAGAAGTCATGACCAGTGGGTAAATCTGGTGGACATGAGGATAAATACTCAACTACGACATTCGGCGATAGTCGTGCTATGTTGTGAACTGACAGGAGTTGGAAATATGAACCATTGGACTCCGATGCAGTTACTGAATGATAACGTGCTTGCCACGGAACCTGAAGGTCATGTGTTTGACCCCTAGCAGGTGATGTCATGGGTGTGCACTGCTGAGGAGTCCCACACTAGGACGAAACAGCTGTCCAGTGCTCCCAGGCTTCCAATGTTCCTTCAACTGATGTTAGTCCATGATGAATACTGACCTGAAATTAATGAAGAGATGATGTAATCAAAAAAGGATGGCTATATACAGACACATACAAAAAATGACAGTTGATTATAGCATAGTGGTTGGTAGCTTACTGGAAATTCACAAACTTTGAGTAAACGTTTTTCAATAAATTAAAAACTTGATTATTATACTTATTAATGATCAACTAGTTACAAATCATATTGATCCTATTGTTCATTGTTCCAATCCACTGACGTTATCCAGTAAACCACTAAACCTTGTCAAAGAAGGAGTCTTGAAACATTGATTACTATCAGAGATACCGGCAAAAAAAGACGTTGGTGAATGAAACCATCACTGAGAAAAATGGGATACTGATAACCTCTTAGGACGTTAGGCAGAACACTTTGAAGCACAGTTCAACTGGTCCTGAGCAATGCTTCAGTTGCCAGACATCCAACCTGAACCTGAATAGGACACAGGTGTACGTTCTCCAACTCTCCTTGAAGTTGAGAAATCTGTATCGAACCTGAAATGATGCAAAGCAACAGGACCTGACAGTTTTCCGCCTGAGATTTTCAAGGGTAGAGGTAGGAAATTGTTGATTAGGGTGATAGATATACTACGTAATGTATGGGAACGAAAGATGGTCCCGCCAGACGGGTGTAGTTCACCTATCATTCCAGTTTATAAGAAGGGGGAGAAAACTTCTTGTGACAACCATAAGAGAATTAACTTGACTAATGGTGTGTCCAAGATCCTGGATTCCGCAGTTATCCGACGCCTAGCTGCAGCTAGAGAACGACAAACTTGAGAAAACCAGGCAGGTTCTAGACCTTGTCCAGGGTGCATCGACTAGATTTTCACCCAACAACAAGTTCTGGAACACAGGCATACCTACCGGCCGATGGTCGACACTTTCTATATTGTTTTGACCTGAAGGTAGCATCCGACTCCGTCAACCATGAGGTGTTGTAACAGTGTATAATTGTGAAGGGAGTATCAAGCAAGTGTATAATGCTAATCAAAGCTCTCTACTCGAACTCATGCAGCCGTGTCAGGGCTTATGGAGAGTTGTCACGTGAGCTTATAACAGCTAGTGGCGTCTGACAGTGATGTCCACTGTCATCGTTCCTGTTTAACTGAGTTAACTGAGTTTCACAGGGATTGATCTATTCCATGAAGGTCATCTGGTCAACTTGGATTCTGCAGACGATATTGTCCTGCTAGGTAAAGACGCTGACTAATTGCAGTCTTCTGAATGCCTTGAGTAGAAATCTGTGTATGTTTGGCATGAGTTCCTCACCTGTCAAATATAAGATGATGCTCCAGGACTGATGTGCAATGACTCCTAGCCTAATGATAGAGAGTGGATTGGTGGAATGTGTCGAGCACTTCACTTACTTAGGAAGTTGCATCAGCCCGAATGGGCTGGTTGCTGACGCAATCTCAGCTCGGATGCGAGAGGCGCGTTTGGCATTTGCCAACTTGCGTCATCTGTGGCGTCCTCGAGATATCCAGCTAACTATCAAAGGACGAGTATACTGCGCTGCAATCCGTTCTCTCCTGTTATATGACTGAGACTTGGCCGTTAAAAGTAGGGGATATGAAACAGTTACAGTTTTTTGGCCGTAGATGTATTCGTAGCATTTTTCACATTTGATGAAATCACAGTGTGAGCAATGTTGAGGTCAGGCGAAAGGTACCATGGAAGACAGGCAAGTCGATTGATAAGATTGTGAACGTTAGTCGACTAAGATGGCTTGAAAATGTACCGCACACTCCAGGCCAACGTCTACCTTGACGTATCATGCTAGAGGAAGCTGGATTAGGATGTAAAAAGGTTCAGGGTGCCCAGACCAAGACGTGCCACCAGTCGGTGAAGTCCCTGAATATTGGCTTGACAGTGGTGACAGTGGTGCAGATGTGTTCACTCCTTGGCATCTAAAACTTGGATATTCACACTAATCTTTAACTTCAAATTGTTTATTCTCTCACATTACTTTATCTTCTTTGATATCACTCCTTTTCTTTTTGAAGTGTGGCAAATTGACCTGATTCACTTATGTGCCAGGTTCTAGGCTTATTTTATCAGTCAGTCAGAAATCGGTCAAGAAATTTGACTTTTTGTCACCAAGTAGTAAATTTCCCAACTGCCTATCAAATCAAATTTATAGGAGATGTTTTTCATGGTTGACGAATATCACATCGTACTCAGAAGAAAAAATTGATGAAACTATAGTACAAATATGCTTGCTTACGAAATCAGAACTAAAATGCTTCAGGATGCAAAAGTATCAATATGAAGGTAAAAATGCCTATAAAACTTATTGGTTTGTCAGTGAACCTATGACTCAATGTCTATACTCATAGGATGTTTTTATACAGACTGCAAAAGTACCTAAAGTCGTTGAAAGTTCCAAGTCAACTCTCCTATTACCTGAATGTAGCATAAATACAAAGTAAGACAAAAACACTTTTCAGATATATCTTCGTCAACTAGTGTGTATAATGCAATTGTGTATAAATCGAGTATAGCATTGTATACAGTTTTTAACTGAAAAGAGATTCGAACTTGCGAAGTATGATACATTGTATCTGTAAATCCGGACAACATCTCAGTCATACATTTGCCTGCTACAACATACAATCATGCAGTAGGCTAGGATAAAGTGTCAGTCCACGATAAAATTCCACTTTGAAATAAATAAGATCCGTATAAACTTCAAACTAAATTATTGTATAGTGTTCATCAGTGACATGTCCTGAAGTTCTAATGAGAAGCTATGGGATCAACTAATTGAGCAATGAAGTGGAGACCAACTGAAGACCATGGTTAATAGATGCACTATATCATGAATTGATAGCAGTTGAGAACTGTGGAGCATTGGACTCTGACTCAGGGATTGAATAGTTAACTCGTTCACTGTAAGGCCTGAATGCTTTAAGTTTGATACCTATTAGGGTGGTGGATGTGTATTGTTGAGGAATCGCCTACTAGGATAAAACAGCTGTCCAATGCTCCCAGGTTTTTAATGGTTCTGCAAACTGTCATTGATAAATAGAAGTATGGGGTTAATAACTGAGATTTTCCGAGATCAAAAGGATACGATTCAATTGTAGTTGAAATAACTAACTTACCTGGGAGTATTAGGTAATAAAGTAGATTTTGGAGTTCTGGGGATTAACTTGACTATGATTATTGTCAATAAATTCTGTTCAAAATGTTATTCAGCAAGAGATACTGTTTAGTTTTGTGAAATATCTAATATTTATACTGGGTGATGATTGAAGGTGAGGTGAAAATCTGAACCGCTGTCGGATTCGAACCGGTGACCACCAGGTTATCAACCCAGTGTTCTACCAACTGAGCTATGAAGTTCGAGTGCTGACCAGATTTTTATTTTACTCTAATCGCCAAGGCGGGCTTTCCCCTAATTTCATGTGAATTCATGACATGTTACTACCGCTTGATCGTATTAACACTGGCTAACTAGTCAAAGCTTCTCATCTCAATCGAAATCTAACTGAATTAAAGAAAGAGAGAGAGAGCATCATATTGATTATCTGAGATAGCTGTAGTTTGACAGACTAGTATTTATACTAGTCCGGCAAAACCCTTGGTGACCGAAGTGAAATACAAATCTGATCAGCAATCGGATCTCGCAGCTCAGTTGGTACAGCACCGGTCTGATAACCCGGTGGTCGCTGGTACTAATCCGGCAGCGGTCCAGATTTTAGGTCATCTTAAATCATCACCCAGTATAAATACTAGTCTGCCAAACTACTGCTTTCTCAGATACTCAAATGATAAATATCTAATGGACATTTGAGCAAATAGGATTGTTCTCAGTGACATAGGAGCATTGTCATTTCCAACTTGTACATTTTTAGCATAAATAATGTAACTGCTCATAGAAAGCCTATATAAGATGCTACAGTTCAAGGAAATGACAATAAGAAATGCGGAATGTGTTTGTATACTATTTGATTTGCTACAATTTATTCAAGGTTATCAATATCATTTCAATTTATTCATCCATTATATTTTTTTGATTGAATTTAACTTGATTTCCCCTTTATATTCAAAAATCTCACTTTTCCAATTAAGTTATTAACAGATATGCTCAATTTTCCAGATGAAAAAGTAGTTCAACGTTCATTGGTTTGTTTGATTTGTTTAAGTCGAAAGTAAGAAACAAAAATTGTATAAGAAATAGATTTATTTTGAATCTAGAGAAATTTCCCGCCAGAAAATGGTTAAATTGTTGAACATCCATGTGATTATGAAGATTTTATCACATGAAAATGCAATACAAAAACGGTAAGAACAAAAACTAATGTATACATACTTTTTATTATAGTGTACGGAAAATAGTGGATATTTAGACGAAAATATTCTGTTTAAGGTTTTTCCCACCGCAGTTATAGGCAATGATTATCAATTCCGTTTACTTAATTCACAGACAATTTTGGTGATGCCAGTTTTTACGGTGCTATGTGTTATAAAGCTGCCCTTTCATTTCTACAGTAGATAAGGGTATGAATCTTTTAAGATCCTCGAAACAGAATAGTTCCTAAAGTTTTACATGTAAGTTTAATTCGAGCCTGTTGAAGTATATAATCAACATAACCTTCCAAAAAGGCACATAAATAAAGCCAAAACCCCAGTGGAATCATTGATATCCGGATTAATTGAAAAACAGGTAATGCAGAGACCGGAAACAGTCGTTCTACCTGAGATCGGCTGTATGATACAGAAAACAATCACACTTTGATCAACAACGTTATTAATAACATCAAATTATTAATGGGGAACGAACCAAACAACCAGCTTTCATTCCTCCACCTTTTAGTCAGTAAAAACAATATCAGAAAATTAGAAAACTGCAGTGTACAGGAAATCAATGTACACTGATCCATTCCTCAACTACAGTAGCAACAATCAAACAACGCACAAAATAACTTGTGTACGCAAGATTTTCAAAAACCCAGCACACACTGCAAGACAGACAGTGACTTCATGGAGAAACGAAGAAGAAAATCACTAGAATATCTGTCCTACAAAAGAACGCTCACCCACAAAACTTTAGCAGAAAATACCTGTCCCATTCATCGTTCATCAGACCACTCGGAATTCATGTGGCACACTAACCAACAAATTCCCTTCAAACCATGTCATCCTGACCATGTGACGCCATAAACAAAGAATACAAATCAAATATCATCTACAACGTGAAACGCAATAACTACCATCAATATTACCTTGAACAAAATGGTCACCCTCCTCACCTTCGTTTACATCAACACCAATTGACTATTAAACTCAATATCAATACACATGGATAACAAATATAGACATGAATTGAATTATGAAAAAAGTGTAGAAATCTTGTACAAAGAAAACACAAAGAATATCAGAGAATTCTTTGAAGCTTGACATTCAAGTCAGTCAGTGATAAACAGATGGATGCATAGACATAGATAGACCCAATCTATCAACCAATAAGCAAAGTTATATACAATCAAGGGAAGTGAGCAATCACAAACCATTTTGTTAGGGAAAACTACTGAATCACTCACGTAGAGATATCGACAGCTCACTTCATAATGAAGTCAGTGTTGATGATTATGATGTCTAGAAAGACAGTGAAAGCTATTGCGATAAGATCAACTCAGCTCACAGAATACAACATAGCCTCAACAACTCATTTCGCTTGTCTAGTCTTGTTTCTACAGTCACTGTTTATAAAACAGACTCGCTTAGGTGTTTATACGAATACAACCTATATTTTTCAATGTAGTTTTTTTCACTCAATGTCTAATGTTTATGATGTTGTTTGGCCAAGTTTTGATAATAAATGTTAAAGACATTTGATAATCACTCCACTCAAAATAGTGTTGATTTATAGGGAAAACATTAACAATTTGATTTTCAGGTAGACTGAAGAGATTGAAACAGAATATTAGTCAACTGATGTAGTCAAGTTTTATGAAACAAAAGTTTCGTGATGTATATTATCTGTGTGAAGTCATCTCCTAGTTTGAGAAGATTGTAAGATGATAGAAGTATTGAAGTAAACGAATCAAAAAGTTGCATTGATCTCAAATGTAGGGACTTCAAATACCATTGAAAACTAACAATTGTAGATTAAATAGGATGTATGACAGTACAGTGACACAACTCTGGCATCACTCTTTGTCTGTCCACCTGTTCTTTGTGTACTACTGTGAAGTATAGCAACTTGATTCGAGCCACCTGTATAAGACGTTCGAAGTTTATTTTGTCAGTCAGTCAGTCAGACATATTTTTCTTTGTGGTATACATGAAACTTCCTAATTGTCTTATTAACTCGTCTGTTTATAAAATGTTGATCTGTGTAAGTTGGATCGGCTGATTTAAAGGATCTGTAGCTGAAATTTAACTTAAGTGGAGTGAGTAGTTAACGAACTTAGAAGAAGAAGAAGAAGAAGAAGAAGAAGAAGAAGAAGAAGAAGAAGAAGAAGGAAATCCAGATAACTGTTTCATGTTAACATAAGGCACTCCATTACGATGTACATATCTCATTTCTTTCGAAAAGATTCATAAGCACCATGTCATAGAAGAAATTTTCAAACAACAAATGAAAATTTCATAGGCTTAGAAAAGATTATTATTTTAATCATTTCAAAATGTTGTTTACTGCTTAGAAGTTCTTAACTAAGCAGCTTCTACATCTATGTCACTCGATGGAAAATGTCTTAAAAATTTCACTAAATTCAGCGTATTTCTACCAGACAGTTATTCCCTAAAATTTTATTATTCATTGATAAATTTTTAGCAAGGCTCGTATCAATCATAGACTGTTGTATCATACTAATAACTGAATGCTAATTGGCTATTAAAATTCACTGGAATCTTAATGTATTTTTGTGTTGTTATAAGTGTCTGAACTTGAAAATGTATGAAGCAGTTTAGATATTCAATCAGCTCTTAATCTTTTGAGTGAAACAATTGAACTCACCTGCATCTGAGTTGGTTCAAGCAACCAATTATCATCATTAGTTCTTGTTCATAAGGATAAAGTTTGTAGACTTGTTTAAAAACACCATTATATGATTATTGTGTTACAGTTTACTCTCAGTGTACACGTTGAAAACAGTGTCAACGTTTTGACGATATAGTAAGTGTAGATAATTTCAGCACTTTAAACATAACCATATAAATAAGAGGTTAAAACTACTCATGAGTAAATTCAACATATTGAAATATTAAAATGTCCTGACTTATAAGAAACTAATGAAAATGAAATCAATTCGGTTCAATCCATGATGAGAAATTACAAGCTATAACATCAAATCTATACTCGTGACATAAGGAGTGATTCTTATGTCTCAGTAGCCCAATGGATAAGACTTTGGAAGTGGAAGCGATAAGTGGTGGACTTAAAGATTTGATGGGAACATTATCACACACTACGATGCAGATACATCTAGCTGACATTTTGGAAAAAGGACAAAACGTGGATCCTTAACTCTATTGCTAAGCCTCATGTTGACGCTGAATGCTTTTTATTTCAGAAGGTTGAAATGTTATAGCAGGCAATGAACATTAACTTTTAACTATAAACTTATTGACCAATGATTGGCTTTCACTTCTGTCATCCGTTTTTTCAAGTTTCTACATGTATTCATCATAAAAATGTAATTTGTTTGGGTACCTTATTATCATGAAAATGTTTTCACATTTAACTAAAGCTTATCAACCTGCCTTATGTATATGTTGAGCGCAGAAGATGAATATTTAAGATGTCTATCCTCTAACCCAGCAGTGATACCGAAACTGTTATCGCTTATTTCGAACAATTTAAACACAAAGGTGAGTTGACAGAAGTGTTTATGTGTATTTTATACGAATACTGACTAAGTAGTCGACGATTTCCAACTCTTAAAGGTGTTTAACAAATGAAATTAATGTGAGCGAAATGAAAGTCTTCAAAATCTTGAGCTACGAAAGCTGGCTAATTCACCAGTATTTCAGCAAGTTTCAGTCTTTAAGTTTCCATGTATACTCTCAATGCAGTGACATGAAGAGAATCACTTATACAAAAGGTATAAGCAGAATGAAAACATTCAATGTTGTTATCCACTGATGATTCACTTTCAAGATGGTGAAGTTGTTTCATAGATTCCAGCTGACTACCATTTCTAAATGTTCTAAAAATGTTTTTAGATATAAATTACAGTTTCCTTGTATATATTGAGGGATTATCCTAGTTGTAAAACGTATCATAATCACATAAATGATCATATAAAGCTATCCATAAGTTATTCAGAACAAGAATAACTTAAGCGAACAATTAGTTTCAATAGCTCCTTTTTCTTCAGGCTCTACAGTTATAAATCCATAAGAATACGTGAAATACAGTAGCCAAAATAAGGCATGATATACAATTACAACTATATTGCAATATCATTTTAGTATCGGAGAGAGCCGTGATTTGTTAGACTAGTATTATTGCTGGGTGATGATTGAATGGGAAATGAAAATTTGGACCACGGCCGGATTCGAACCAGCGACCATCTAGTTACCTACCTGGTGCTCTACCAACTGAGCTACGATGTTCGACTACTCACCGGAGAAGTCCTGACTAGGTGGCCAGTGTGAATACAAGCAAGCGGTAGTAACGCGTCATGAATTCACATAGTAGTCGGGCAAAACTCATGGTGATTGGAGTAAATTAAAAATATGGTCATAGCTCAGTTGGCTGAATGTCTGAGGGGAAACGCAGTGGTCGCCGGTTTAAATCCGGCCACGGTCCAAGTTTTTATTTCACCTTCAATCATCACGCAGTATATGTTAAAATAGTCCATGCTACTGGTGAATAGAGATCAAATCGAATGGACTGCTGGCATAGTTATCAGTCTAGTGCGTTAGTTGTGCAATGAAATCAATACTGACAGAACAGTTACGAAATGAGGAGACAAAATGTAGAGATAATGATTCACTTCAATACACTTACTGTAGCATGAATGTGTGTGTGGGTCAAACAATAATTATGTAGTGATCAATTAAATTCAATTGGTGTGAAAATCATGTGATCGATAGGATTCGGTCTGCACTCAAGATTAGGCAACGTCAAATTGGTTGCACTCCCGTGACCAATCAATACATGTAAGCCAGTCCTACAGGAGGTCAATCGTGGCCAGGATAGCTCGGCGGTAAAGTCTCTGACTACAACACTGGGTGGTGCAGGATCGAATCTCAGGTAGGACATAAGTTCCGTCGAGGTTGCAGATAAGCCTTGCTGACGAGTGTCAAAAAGCACGAAACTTAGGTCCAGGGCTTCCTGCCGATTGCCTCCAACCAACTAACATGTGAATACTATGAAGAAATAGAGAATAACAAATATGAAGTATTACGTCACGGTTGAGAATGACTACAGGCCCTTGCATGAATAAATAAAGGCATAAAATTAATAACATAAGAAAATAAATGTTTATCAATGTGATGACACTATATAAGAAAGGGGTTGGGGGTTAGAATGTGTAATTTGTGGTAGGAACGTGTCAACCCTGTTGTGGGCGAAGTGGATGTACATATTTCCTTTGAACACGTAGGTCCAGTTTTCTTGAGTTAATCCCAATCCCTTCGGCAATGGATAAGATGCAAAGTCGTAAACCTTTAGGGAGATTGCAAAAGGTATGGTATATTTAAGAAAAGGTATGATCTACCTCAATCTGATGTCTGGTATCTACTTAGATGTGAAAGGATTGCACTGTTGATGCTCTTTGTCATTTCTTCCCCTAACCAAGGTGATACACGTTCACGAGAGCACGTGGATAGAGCCATTTGAGTATGATCTATGTAACTAGCTCCATAGAAGCAGTTGAACTCATCACTGTAATCTGATTGTTGTAAAACTTGTCACAACTTTTATTTATCTTAATTGCTATTTTCATCTTTTTCTTGTAATAAATAAACAAACTAAATGTTATTAGGAGAAATCAGAGGAAATCGCTGAACATAATGACGATGCTTTTAACATTATCGAAATGGGCGATTACTTCATGTTCATCCAGCCAATGGAACGAAATAAAATTTATCAACACTTAGCTTCTTTTGAAATATACACCATTTTATGTTTAGAAAAATTAATGAAAATAAGAAAATGTCAAAAACTTCTTCGAAATTATAATGGAATAACAATTGTATTGAATTGTTTGAAGTAAGCCAAAAGTTCTTGAGAAAATGTATTTCTCCCTATTGTTCCTTTTACTGAAGTTTATTATTTATTGATTGAATATCATTTACAAAGTTGTAAATGAATACAAGTGGTTATCTTCTGAGAGGAAAAAAAAGGTCAGTCTTTGTAAAACAACTTTGGATATTGGTTTTCATGAGTGTTTCACATGAACAAACTGTTTCTTTTTACCTTAAACTCCATGATTATTGTACTCTAGGGAAGGTGTTAGACTTGATTATACTTGATTCTGATCTTACTGACTAAAATATTCAACGATAATCACTTCAGTATTATTGCTTGTATTTTATCGTCATTCATTAGACCAAATTGATCGGTCTCTACTAGCATATGAGCTCCTGTGCAGATGCTTCGATATCAACTGTGTTCTAATTCTGGTAATGATGAATAGCGGCTAGCAGTAGAATCCAGGATGCATATTTCATCCTATTTGGGACTTGACAGCTGGAGGTACCCACATCCCAGTCAGTGATGTTGTTCCCACTACGATTCGGACTCGAGACCGATCTCTTCAGACGCCAGCAAGTTATCCACTACACCACCGAATTATGATAGCCACTTCTTGTGCGATGAGTATAGTCTTAATATTATTGCTTGTGTTATACATCTAGGTGACAAGTCCCAAATAGGATGAAACGCACATCCTGCATTCCTGACCTGATACAATTGAATAATTTGGGTATTTAATAAATGGTACATAAAAGAAATATATTTTTAAAATCTTAGTAAGATCGAAAAAGGAATATCTAACGGTTCGTGACCACGTGGAAATCGCTTCTTCAAAGAATAAAATCTGTACAAGTTACTGTATGCCTAGACAGTAAATGGAAATAAATCAGATCACATAGTTTACAAATGCAAATAAAAATGATAGTAAACTGGGATTAAATGTTATGATTATGGCTGTGTTGTATTCTGTGAGCTGAGTTGATCTTATCGCAATAGCTTTCACTGTCTTTCTAGACATCATAATCATCAACACTGACTTCATTATGAAGTGAGCTGTCGATATCTCTACGTGAGTGATTCAGTAGTTTTCCCTAACAAAATGGTTTGTGATTGCTCACTTCCCTTGATTGTATATAACTTTGCTTATTGGTTGATAGATTGGGTCTATCTATGTCTATGCATCCATCTGTTTATCACTGACTGACTTGAATGTCAAGCTTCAAAGAATTCTCTGATATTCTTTGTGTTTTCTTTGTATAAGATTTCTACACTTTTTTCACAATTCAATTCATGTCTATATTTGTTATCCATGTGTATTGATATGAGCAATGAAATATCGTTGAGTTTAATAGTCAATTGGTGTTGATGTAAACGAAGGTGAGGAGGGTGACCATTTTGTTCAAGGTAATATTGATGGCAGTTATTGCGTTTCACGTTGTAGATGATATTTGATTTGTATTCTTTGTTTATGGCGTCACATGGTCAGGATGACATGGTTTGAAGGGAATTTGTTGGTTAGTGTGCCACATGAATTCCAAGTGGTCTGATGAACGGTGAATGGGACAGGTATTTTCTGCTAAAGTTTTGTGGGTGAGCGTTCTTCTGTAGGACAGATATTCTAGTGATTTTCTTCTTCGTTTCTCCATGAAGTCACTGTCTGTCTTGTAGTGTGTGCTGGGTTGTTGAGAATCCTGCTTATTTCTTCTAAAGTCTCCCTAAGGTATAAGTTTATGACAGTGCTTATCCAGTCCTTCGGAGGGAGTTTCGGCACATCCTTAAGTTCACTTATTAAAATAAGTTTTGCGAAAGCTTTGGGATACTTGTTTGCTTCATGTGTGCGGCGAACTAACTTTAACTCTTCTTCTTCATCCTCTTTCGTTGTTACAAGACGATTTGCCCTTTTGATTAGATTCCGTGTAACAGTTACTTTAGTACTCAAATGATCAGCACACTGGTAATCGAGGTATCTGTCAGAATATGTTGCTTTTCTGAAAATCTTAATCTTTAGTCTGTTGTAATCCTGTCCTTCCACTATATATTTTAATTATGATTATTTCCCTGAAGAAGCTGAGACCAGATTTCCCTGAGAAACGTAAGAATTATTTTAGTTCAAATCCTCGATGACTTACACAAATACAATCAAGGTTACTTAACTTTAGTCATCGTTAGTAGCTATAGAATAAGAAAAGTCACTAGGATGATAATCGTCTATCTGGAGGCTTTTATTAACTGATTTTAGGTTGGACTTCATCATAGACTGACATCAGTTGGAGGAACATTGGAAACCTGGAAGCAGTTGACAGCTGTTCCATCCCAGTATGGGACTCTTCAGCAATGCGCACCCATGACCCCACCTGCCAGGGATCAACCCCAGGACCCTCAGGTCCCGTAGGCAGTAGGAAACAGTTATCCAATGCTCCCAGGTTTCCGATGTTCCTCCAACTGGTATCGGTCAATGATAAATCCCAACCAGAATTCAATCGATAATCATCTTCTTTATAAGGCTAACAGAGATGTAGCTACTATTCTTCAGGTGGCATAGACGTCATATTGTCAACTCAGCGATAAAGCAGACTTCAGGACGGGTTAAAGCATTTGACTACGCATAAGTTTACAGAAGTGATTATTTACAGATTTGTAAAGCAAGCTATGAACTCTTACACGATATTATTGTTTGAACAAGACTGTATAGCTTCGAGGACTAAAATCGGAAGATTGTATAACATTTTGACTTAATTACATATATTTAGATGAAAAAAAAGCGTATTAGGTTATAGCTGCATCACAGTATTAATAGATTATAAGTACTTTTTAACCTGTATGGCACTACATAGTTTCAACTATTTATATTTCTAACCATGAAGTATGCATATTTCGTGATCGATTGTGGTAGAACAATCAAGTATAGTTTTGTAGACATCGTTTACATAGCTGCATATTTATAAATATGCCAGATGAAAAATATTCCATTATGTGTGAATGATTACTGATAGATAGAGATATATATATTAATAACACTTGGTAAACGTTGTTTAAAATGAGAAGGTAATATAAAAATTTAAAAATGGAGTATCATTATCAAAGAGAGAAAAAATTCTTTCAGAAAGACATCAGTACAAATATCTTGTTCTAGAGGGCGATGAAATAAGAAGCTGAGATCTAAATAAACTATCCTAGATGAATTCTTCTGACTGAAACACTTTTGCTTTTGTTAACAAAACATTTGAGTAACCCTATGTTAGATTCTTCATTCATGCATAGCACATACACACACACACGTCAAGCAATACTATTTACTGGATGATGTTGCGAGAAGAAATTACTGTTCATAATCACATGATAAGAATAGGAATTAATTTTCATATAATTAGGAGCAATGGATTCTAGTGAAAACATCATCCTGTACATTCTACTGAATGTAGCACCATATAAACAATCTACTATTACGTTACGTTCCATTACAATACCTTGGCTTTTATATTTCAATATGAAAAATCTATCACCCAACAAATATGGAGAAGAAAGTGGAGATGGGTTGGGCATACACTGAGGAGGCCGATTAGGGGACATCAAGCGTCAGGTCAGTCACTCGAGTGGATTCTAAAGTGGAAACGACCAGCTGGGCAGCAGAGGGTGACATGGAGGAGATCATGTGAGGAAGAAATGAAAGCTTGTGGTCAGTGGTAGAGAAAGGTTCAAAAGACTGTAGAGAAGAGGGTGCAATGGAGGTGTGTTACTGAAGCCCTATGTACCACTAGGAACCCAAGGGAAAATAAATACTAATAAATAATGAAAAACTCATTGAACGATTCTATTTGTGGTTTCTTGTTTCAATGTTTAAGATGGTTCAAAGAAAATATCTTTCGTTTCAAAAACTGATTCTTTACTCCAATTAAATTAATTTTAAAAAATATAATACACTTCAGGGAATGTCTACGAATAAAACCAGAATGTAACAACAATACTTGTCAAACTATTGGGGTAACTGTCTCTCCGAATTGTATGTCATCGTTATCAAATGTTATACAGCCATCAGAAAATTCTACTTATAGAATAGAATGGGTGAGCTAGTATCTACTGTTACTATTCAGATTTTTTGTAACTGTTATGTATGTGTATTCATCTGAATCATGTAACGAATTTGCGCAGCACATTTGAAACAATCCAATTACACACATAATTGTAGTAGGTGTAACGACCAGTTGGTGATTAGTTTTCGCCTAGCCTGTTGATAGGTAAGTTGTTGCAGGGGAAGGGAGGGCGCAGAGCAGTGTGTTTGGTGATGGCCACTAGAATCTGGAAAAGAAAAAAGGAGGTGAAGAAAGGTGAGCCGACGACTCAACAAGTACACAGGATGTACTTGCATTTAATAACAAAAGATAACTGACAAACGGTAGAGCTGGACAACGAAGAGGTGAGATGAAACTCCAAGGTGACTGAGTAAGAGTTCGAATGCGCTACATAGGTTTACATATAAAAGGTTATAAAGGTATTAGGGGTGAGAATAAGAAAAGAGGTCAAATGAAAGGTTAAAATAGTTATGAAAATCAATAAAATAGAAAAAAGTGAGAGAATAACCTTGATTCATATGTCAGATTCACAAAGATTGCTCTTACAACATGTTTCTCTAATCAGTTTTATCAAAATAAGAAGAAAAAGATATACAGAATAAATTGGCTTCATATTGATTTCGCGGCTTATTCTCAACTGCAAACATTCAGGAATAAATGCAAAATTAGCATAAGGTAAGAGTGAGAAAAATACCTTTGAGTTAGAACAATGTAACAATGTACATTGGGAAATATAGACACAACTGGCAAAACGCAGTTTAAAAATGTCACCAATGTAAATAATGAAGATAAAGTTTTTTTATTTATAGGCAGTTTGAAGGAAGCTCCTAGAGTGATACCAATGGGTTTGGGGGTAGTAACAGTCATAATAGTAATGATAATAATGATAATAATAATAATAATAATATGACTTTCATAGTAATAACAGATTTTTTTTACACAGAAACAGACAGATTAATGTCCTGTTACATAATACATAAAAAACGAGTAATAAAACTGAAAAGAATCACTAAGAAAATAGCAGTAAAGATGGACATGTGGTTACCAAAGTAACCTGTTACACTAAGCGCGCAATCGAAAATTGAACAAAGTAAACATTGAATCTATTTACATAGAGATGAATTAAAATATGAATGAAATTGAGTATCATTTGTCCACTTTACCACACAAAAGGTAATATTCATGGATATATTTTTGTGGATAAAATGTATGCTGCTCAAATGTTTTAGCTTTGTTCATTAGCTCGGATAATAGACGTTGTATGGGTCATTTGGATATGTGATCACACTTTACTCCACTATTTTAAAGACTAAGTATTAAATTTGGAATTGGAGCTGTGGGTCGCCTTCCAACCGGTGTGTGAACTCCGCTCCACCAACCGTGGTTTGCCCAACCAACTAGTATATGATTAGCCCTCACACATAAAAGATACGCTCAGCCTACTTTTACAAGATTTTCAATGAAGACAAAGGTATGGGTATGCTATGTAAAACGTTATAAAGAAATGAAAAAACATCGTGTAGAGTGTCTCAATCAATCAACCACTATCCTATCAGATATTCATTTGATCTTAGTGTATTTATCATAGTCAAGTAGAAGTTATGCTGAAACCTTATTATCTTCATTACTACTATAGTTCTAAGATTCACCTAGTTGAATTCACTTATCTAGCGAATATCAATATTATTGTTTTACTAGGTGTATGATTTAAACCAGCATACTATTCAACGCAATACAGGTAAGTTATCTTTACTCATGTAATTACATTTATTACTTTTGTCAGTGTAGGAGTGAAACTTAGGGACTGTGGTAGATTATAATTCCATTCTAGTCTGTTTATTGCAAATGTCAAACTGTGAAGGAACAGTATCGTTTACTAGATAACCTTTTGGATACAATTTATTGTCCATATTCATATCAGGTCACTCCACAACTTTGAAATAGAGTTTATACAGTCCTAATTTTCTCTCCTTCTTTGTGACGAAAAGTCTAGTAGAATTTCTAATATATATGGGACAGGTGCAGAATTATTTCCATCTATTCCATATACTTGGTGTTGATTCGATAAACGCAGATTCGGTTTGTCAATCACTTCCTGCATCCAACTAAGTTAGTTTTTAACGCTTTCACTCTATCCCACCTTACTGTGTGATAGTATGCAGAGCTATAGCCGAGCTTCTTTCCAAATTTCTCATCTTATCAGGATCTACTAATCTTGATTTAGCTAAGTTTTTGTGCTCTGTCATTCTAATCGCTACTGGTCGACTACTTTGACCTATGCATTTGACCTTGCAATCATTGCAAGAGATTTGGTGAACCAGATTATTTTGCTTAATTACATCAACAAGATCTAACCTACATAGCTTGTTTCTGAACGACTTTGTTGGTTTGAATGCCATTCAAATTCCAAGCAGGCTTATTGAGAATTCTTCGTAGTGTTTTTGAGGTGCCTTCCTTGTTTGGTAGTAACACAGCAGAGGCTTTGAATTCTCTCTCAACCCTGCTAACATTACTACTATTAGTAGTAGGAGTATTATCAACCGCGCCAGTGTTACTACCACTGCTCACAGTTTCCTCTCGATTTATTACGAATTTATTTATGAATTCAGGTAGGTAATTATTCAGAATACCTTGCTGAAGGGTCACCATGAGACCACTAATATCCCCTATTGTCGTAGACGTATTTGTTGATCGTTGGGAGCAGATGGTTCTTCGAACATTTAGTCCTACTTCGAAGATATGGTTCAGATATGCAGATGATACGTTTACACTACTGAAATCGGAACACACCAATAGGTTATTAGTACATATAAATAAAGCAGTGAATGCAATCCAACTTACCTGTGACTTAGAAAGTGAAGAAGGTGAGCTAGCAATGTTGGATTGCAAGATTAAACGAATACAGGACCGGAGTTTAGAGATTAGTGTCTATAGGAAACCTTCCCATTTGTATCTCTACTTAGACTTCAAATCTTCCCACCCCATTTCAGTTAAAGTAGGCCTAGTTAAATATCTAAGTGATAGGGCGAAAAAGGTAACTGGTAGGCCAGAAATCTACGACAAGAAATTAGACACATCAAGAATACCTGACATCTCAGTAATTACCCGCCTAAACTATTCTTGTTACTTCACAGTGGTACTTTATTATTACATTTTGATTCAACATGTCACCTTAGATTTTACTTGAACTTTTACCATATTTTTGGCTTTATGACAACATTCAGGCTAACTTGACTATGATAAATGCGAAATTGAAAAGGTAATAACAACAACAATAATAGTAATCATAGTGTTGATAATGATGTTAATAATAGTAGTGGCAATACTGTGAATAGAGAATTCAAAACCTCCACAGTATTACCATACAAAGAAGGCACCTCAGAAATACTAAGTAGAATTCTCAATAGCGCTGGGATTAGAGTGGCATTTAAACCTAGAAACTCACTTCGAAATAAGCTTTGTAGGTTAAAAGATCCTATTGACCCAATCGGGCAGAATAACTTACTTTACCAAATCCCTTGCAACGATTGCTAGATCAGATGCATAGGTCAAAGTAGTCAACCAGGGTCAATTAGGCTATCGGAACACCAAAACCTAGCTGTGTCAAAACTAGTAGATCCTAGTAAGGAATTTAGAAAAAAGCTCAGCCATAGCTATGCATGCGATTACATACAACCACACAATGGGATGGGACAGGGTGAAAATTCTTAAAACTAACGTAACAGGGTAGAGGGAGAGATTGATAACTGAATCTGTGTTTATTGAATCAACACCTAACATACGCAACAGGAATGACTCAGTATCTCTTCCGGATATATGGAAAATCTTACTACCCATATCACAAAGGAGGTGAGGAAATTAGGACTATATAAAGGATATCTCAAAGTTTTATAGTTATCTTGATATGACTATGGACAATAATTTGTGTCCAAAACGTAATCCAGTAAACAATACTGTTACACTATATGATAAATCTAATAAATCAGTAAAAATGGAAGGAGAGATGGCCTACATGCGTTTATGTTTAATACATGTAATTTAACAAATTAAATTATTTTCTGTAGACAGTCTAAACTTATTGCCGGTTATGTTTTATCTATCATCGATATTAGTTTCATTGGCTTACTTATTGTTCTGAAGAGTGCTGAAGAACTATAGGAGTGGTGAGCGTATAGTTGTCAGGTGATTACTCTCCCCCCGTTAGAAGATAGAAACAGGGGGTTAGATTCTAAAAAAAGTGTTGCGTGATGATGGACAGTGTGTAAAAAGTCTGATTGTGTGGTATAACAAACAGATGAACTAGAAACCATTCACATTTATCTCAAGTTTATAGCATCAAAATTACTCACTCATTTTCTGCTAATCAAGGTGGCTATAAATCAGTGTTTTGCAACCCTTTTCGTGATTGACTTGTAATGCATCTATTGTCAAAAGAGAGATTGCACTGGAATATTCCCTACTGTCTTTTCTTTGTCCGGATGTGGGGCTCAGTGTTAGCTTCTATATTTTGGCACACTGCTTCAAAATCTGGTTTTATTCGGTATTCAGGTAATTTTAAAAAGTCCTCAGACACTGCGTACACTGACAGCTTTACCCACTGGGGTACGACAGTCACCTATTGTGCAACAGGTGTCACTTGTTGTAATGGTACTTGTTATTTCCTGTTGCTATACAGGGCTGAATTGCTCGACCTCCTGGATTCCTCTGCTACTTACCAAGATCAATATAACATCATGAATATCCACCAGTGTCAAGGCATCCGCATAGAAGCCCATCTGTAAACAGAGATCGAGAGGTTCGGCCGTGTGTAACAACTGGAAATCACAAGTATCATTTCAATTAAGTTGTTATTCAAATAAATTATATTTTAGTAATTCAAAAATCCTCATTAAGTCATAAAATAAAAACGAGTTCAGTGAAAAGTCACTCTTTTCAGTGATATGATTCTCAAGCTGTACAATAGCATAAAGATATTCTATTCATATGGTAACACTGGTCTTTAATTTGATGTGCATGAACTTTTAAGATTTGGATAGACAAAAAGAATCCATATCCCCGTCATTGGAAAACCTTGGGTATGGTGGAGTGTTATATATTTTTTGGCAGACCTTTTCTAACCTTTTCCCTTCCATTGAGAAGGCAGCATCATCGTAGGACTGCTAGTCATCCAAAGGAAACACCTTTATCTTCTTTCATTTCTGTCCTTTTCTAAACATCTGCTGTTTGTTTACTACTTCGAAGTGTGGCAACTTGAGCTGATGCACCTGTGTGCGATTTTCTACCCTGATTTTGTCAGTCAGTCAGCATGAAATTTTAAAAATTAATGAAAACTCATCTTTACTAAACATTTTGCATGGTGGAAATGATGCTTTGTTATGTAACCTAGGTATTATTGCTCACTGGAGAGTAAACAATACAAGGTTGTCGTATCCTCAGTGCTGACTTAATTCCCTCGATTATCCTATAGTAATGTGGTCATCAAGCTAAGAGATTCAGCATGATGTTGCAGTTTGATTTCTTTTAGATACTTGGAGGGAATCCACAGGCTTTGTGCTTGTTACAACCTCGGGGTTAACTGATGTTACCTGAGAGATTGGTCAGTTTATCTAAATCAGTTCAACAGGAGGTGGATGGCCTTGTGTAAAGCTCAGTGGTAAAGTTGGTGACCGTAACACTCGGTGATACAAGTTTGAACTTCACACGGGACATAAGTCGACAGACCCTGTTGACGGATAACAACAAACATTAAACGTACGTTGAACAAGGCTTCCTGCTGGTTATCTCCAATTGTATGTAAAATATGTGCATTCAGCGGTTTTTATTTATTATGAATATACATATAAGTGAAGACAGGAGTAAAACAAGGCTGCCACCCACTATCATCCATGATATTCCTTATTGTAGTGGACTGGATCATCCAACAAACAGTGAGGAGCGAGAAGAGGGGGATACGCTGTACCACGGAAAAGAACCTAGAAGATTTGGATTTCGCCACCGATGATTTGTGTCTCATGTCGCACAAACTTGAAGATCTACAGGCAGAAACTAACAAGTTAACAGAAGAGGCAGGGCAGGGCAGCGAAGACAGGACTTCAAGTGAGTATAGAAAAGACAGTGGTGAAGAAGATACCGCACCATCACCAACAACAACAAGAAGCTCCAATCACCATCAACAGGAGAAACCTAAAGGAAGTAGACTCTTTCAGCTATCTAGGAGGTACTGTCTCAACTACAGGCGGCACAAACGAGGACGTCAAGCAGCCGGGATCGGAAAAGCAAGACAGGCGTTATTAACCTGAAACCAGTGTAGAGATCTGCACTGCACTCAGCATATGGAACAAGATCCGGATTTTCAACACCAACGTCAAGTCAGTACTTCTGTATGGCTCAGAGACTTGGCGCGTTACGAAAGGGAGTTCCAACAAACTACAGACATTCATCAACAAGTGCCTACGTTGGCTCGTTACTGAAGCGCAGATGGATTGCTAGAAAGAATAAGCAACAAGGAACTCTGGCTAGCCGGGCAACGAACCAACCAAGAAGCTATCGCTGAACAAATATGCAGAAGGAAGTGGAGATGGGTTGGGCATACACTGAGAAGACCGACTGGGGACATCACGCGTCAGGCCAGAGTGTCGAGTGGAACCCAGATGGGAAGTGATGAGTTGGGCGTCCGAGGTGAGGGTGAAATGGAGGACATCATGCGAGGAGGAAATGAGAGCTTGTGAGCTGTCGTGGAGCCAGGTTGAAAAGATTTCAGAGAACAGGGCGCACTGGAGACGTGCTACTGAATCCCTATGTTTCTTTAGGAACGCAAGGGATAAATGATAATTATATATATATATATATATAAATATATATATATATATATATTTATATAAATATATATATATATATATATTTATATATATATTTATATATATATTTATATATATATATATATTTATATATATATTTATATATATATATATATTTATATATATATATATATAAATATATATATAAATATATATATATATATAAATATATATATAAATATATATATATATATATATATATATATATATATATATATATAGCTAACACTTAAGGAAATACCAACTCACTTTTTTCTTTCTTTCTTCTTAGCTATATGTTTAATTTTATCTGAATTAGCAGTGAATGATTTTTATGCTAAAATTATCGCACGTGAAAATGGAATACACCTGATTGCATCACAATTATTAATCAAATATTCTTTAGAACAGGATAATGAAACAATGAAAAACACTAAGTCAAAACTGGGAATGCCATTTGAAGCTGAAAATCAATCCACATCTGAGTTTACTTTTACAATGAATCATTCAGTGGATATTCATCACTTGTATGTAAGTAATTTACTTTTCTTTCTGTCAGTTCACTATTCTTGTAGGTCGATGCTTGGTGCTAACTAAACTATCAGTATGATATGAGTGTATGGAAAACTTCAAGTCAACTAATTTGTCTTGATCTCATGTCGTTTAAGACAGCATAAGGCTGTACAGCATATAATTACTTTTTATCTGGCATCCAAATATACTATCTCCTGAAAATCAATAAAGGTTAAGTTCCCCGGGGGAAAAAAACATCTGTTAAATTGAAACTGGAGATATGTCTTGCAATAGACTGAATAAAACTGAAATTAGGTCTATCTGTCAATCTGCCACAATTGTACAATATTTGACAACTTGGTAAATATTTATAGGGCATATAACAGCATTGCAAATAAGGATTTGATTTACCCCTAATAGCCTCATCGAAGAAGTCCTAAGTTAAGAGGACAATAAGACTACTAGAACTGAATATATTACATAACAATCTCTAACTATTTGCCTTACTATCTTGTTAACAATCTTGAGTGGTCGAGTCTGATTAGAATATACGACCATATACTCATATTTGAAGTATGAACACTCATGTAAAGAAGCTGACTAACGATAGTAGACATCGTCAAAGATTTGGTGTGAATGGTGAGGATTATTCCTCACTAAGGTAGCATGTTATTGAATTCAGTGGATATGGACAGTTTAAAATACCATTTTCAGTTTCCATCCATGTCATTTCTAATCTTTCTATCAACCCTCTCAACGACATCATCCTCTTCAAAGGACAGATACGCTTCTTTCTTACAGCTCTGTATGGCTCTTCTTCACTTGTATATTAATGGTATTTCTGAATGAACTTTACTAGATGTCTATCGCCATAAGCACTCTTCAATGAATGTAAATGTTTCACCAAGTTTTCATCAACGGTAAAGTTTTGATAACTCAACTATCCCTATCGATTTGTGTGTATATGTGGAAGTAAGTTCATTAGGAAGGCTAAGAGATGGATGTCATCTATGACCTTAGGACATGTTCCAAAAACTTTGAGTCTTCGACGTCCAAAGTCATTCGGAAGCTTACTAAACGAGTAAAAATTATCATTTCTACTTCAATTCATGCTAGGTAGTTAAGACAAGAAGAATTCAACTAGATTATCAACCATCCACTTTCGTGATTTAATCTTACATGTTCTTTATTTCTTTACTTAATTCTCTTCATCCATTCCTGGATACCCAAATGTTGAACAAACTAAGACTATATATGTTGGATATACTGGTTGTACACAGCTGAAGAGGATCGATGATACACAATGTCATTTTCTTCTGGAAATGATGTTGTTCAAGCTTGCTGTTTAACTGACATTACTTGTTATTCAATGGAATTATTTTCTCACTTTCCAGAAGTATATTAATGATATCACTTCTCTACAAGCATCTGAAAAGTTTGAATTTGTCAATTCTCTCAAATAGTTGTTTAAAACAAAAATATTCTTCGAAACATTGAACAGTTTAGTTGTCTACCTTTTTAGTTATCTTATAAACATGATGTACTGCTAACATTTCTAATCAAATGTATTTTTCATGTATATATTAATTTAGGCAAATGCATTTTGTGCACTACGTAGACTTTTTGTATCTGAACATAATCGTCGCTTGATCAAATCATTTTTACCATCTTCTTTATTGTCTGAATTGGTCGAAATTGATATCACATCAAGAAATATAGAAGATTATAAAATGTTGATTAATTTGTTTGAATCGTTAAACGTAAGTATTTGCAAAAAATTCCTTTTTCACTTTCTGATATGACAAGTTAATTATTAGTTGGATAGTAATTAATTATTTGACATTTCCTTTTCTATACATTTTACAATTTTGTAAAATTTCAATCCCTTCTACTACATAACTCACATTGAAAGTTTGTGATACACTATTATTTATGAAGTTAACCTATCTGCCTTTAGTTTCAGCAACTTTATTCCAGGCTACATTTATATCATACGATCGGGGTAAGGGACGAAATCTGTTTGTGGAGGCTGGAATCCATGCCTAAAGTTAGGTGTACATAAGTACTTGACTGATAAGATATGATTTGGAGTGAGGCCTGTGGTGATCATTATAGCATCATAAGCTCGTCAATTAATGTCTTTAAAACATTCCATAAACTAGAAGTCAATCACGACGTGAATAGCTTGTCAGTAGCATTATAGTACCAGCATTGAGGATACATTTACTGTGTTGAAATCGGAACATATCAACAATTTCCTCACACATATAAACTCAGTAGTAGGCACAATCCAATTAGTTTACGAGGTAGAAAATGAACAAGGAGAATTATCTACTTTGGATTGCAGAATAAAACGAAGGACAGACGATGGTTTGGATACTACTGTCTACAGAAAAAAGATGCATTCCAACAGGTATCCAGACCAAATCATCTCATCCAATGTCAGTTAAGGTGGGTTTAGTCAAATGTCTAACTCAGAGAGCTAGAAAGCTGACTAGTCAGTCCAAGGACCTAAATAAGGAATTGAAACACTCAAAAGAAGCGCCAATAGTTAATAAATATCCTCCACAGTTTACTAAGAAATTTGCACAAACATATAAGAAACGAAAAAATAATAGTATCATGAGTACGAATAATAACGACAACACGAGTAGGAAGCAGTTCACAACCTCCGTTGTATTTCCCTATGAGGAAGGTCCCTCAAAAAATATGGTATTGGGATGGGATTTAAACCTGCAAACTCACTCGGAGATAAGCTTTGTCAGCTGGCTTAAGTATTCGATAGAACCAATTCAATAAAATAATATAATCAAATCCCATGTAATAACTATAAAGTCAAGTATATAGGTCAGTTAGAATAATGAAACAGGAATTTAGCTAAATATAGAATGACAGACCTGAATAAGATCAATGAGTCAGAAAGTAGGTCGGCTATTTCAATGCGTGCATTGACACACAATCACACAATAGGGTGGGTGGGATGAAACCACTATATTTGAGCGCAATATAATCAGGTGGAGAGAGAGAGACTGATTACTGAATCTTTGTTGATCGAATCAACACCCAACACATGTAACAGGAATGACGCAACGCCTGTACCAGAGATATGGAAAATTTTACTACCAATAGAAACAAAGAATAATAGGTGACACGACCATAAAAATCAGGTATAGGAAGTAGTGTGATTACATTGATATGATTATGAGCAATAATTTGCGCTCGAAACGTCATCAAGTAAATAATGCTGTATCACTGTGTGTCATAAATCAACTAAATAAATATAATATGCAATTAAATTCTACTACTATGCTCAAGTTTTGTAACTATTTTAATTGATGAACAACAGTTTAAATTTTTTGAAGAAGAAGAAGAAGACGAAGAAGGTTATTCAGAATCATAGAATTACATTAATGATGAGTGGTGTGAGCCAATAAGACTGAATTAACGGTATTCCGCTGGCTTCTTTTAAATATCTAGCATGCACAGAATTATGCTACAATAGATTTTGAAAAGCCCCTGGTGTTATCAACTTTCTTCCAGTTGTTTTCGTATCGTATACACTCTGATATTCCTTAGTTGTTGTAACAGTTGAACGATAAATAATGCAGAAAACGAATATGTTTCACTTGGTTTTCGTGGTGTCGATCTACATCTAACTAAGTGTTCAGTAGTTGTACGTAGCCTTTATTTTACTTCATACGACCATAACAGATACCATTCTTAAAACTTGTAAATCTCCCAAAACCTCCAAAATTGAATGACTATCTACTGTACTGCCCATTAGCAACATACTTTGAGATGAATTTCACGAAGTTCTAATAAAAGGTCGTGACCGGTTGGGCAAACTAAATTGAATGTGAGGATAAATCCCCAACGATGGAGTTGGATGAAAGTCGTACTATATTGCGAATTGAAAGAAGTGGGGAAATGTGAACCGTTGGATCCATATGCAGTAGATCAATGACGACGTGCTGCTCGCGGATGCTGAAGGTCGTGGCTTGGCTGTGTGACGAGGTCACGGGTGCATGCTGCTGAGGTGCCCCACAGTAGGGTGAAAGAGTTATCCAGTGAAATCAGTCTACAAATGATGTCAGTCCGTGGTGAGTTCCACCTTGAAGTCTGTGAATCCCAGAAAACCCTGAGAAATTGAATAATAAATAACTACTTGTGTTCTTTATTTAAGCAATTAGTATGTTGATTTTCAAGAGGCGAAAGCTCAAGTCTATCGGATGTAGTCAAAAGTGGAGCAAGTAATACATGCACTCATGCAGCTATCAGATGTCACTCATTCGATGCGCAAAGGGAGATTTTCGAGCATCCATCTTCAAGGTAGTCTATCGAAAGTTTAGATTTCTTACCATCTAAGCCAGCCAAATCACTCAATAGTTTTAGAAAAGGAGGCAATCAATTATTTACTCCTCCTTGATTTTTTACAGCCACCTGAGCAACAAACGATTAGTATAAGATTTTAGTTTATCCGAAAATATCTTGTTCTTCATGATAAATTTATTGTCTTTTTGATATATAGAAAGAAGAAGAAAATGAACTCAAAATTGGTATCATTTCATGTGATGTATCTAGGGCACCAGTTCATTTTATACGTGAATATTCTATTAACGAATTACTTGGAACTGGTGCATACGGTAAAGTTTATAAAGCTTTGAAAGAAGATACTCCGTCCACTTGTTATGCCATTAAAGAGGTGAGTATACACATAGATGAATAATTAGAAGAGGATAAAACGGACGACTTTTTTTAACTAGTATCTTGCTGACTGCTAACAACGTAGAACATTAAAATGTATAATTTCGTTAACACTTTAATAAACTTCAGTCTACTAGAAGAAAATAGAATATCTGTCAGTAGTTAAGACCGATAGAAATCGTTGTGGGTATACTAGTAAATCATACCGCCAAAAACACAAAAGTTTAATAGAGTTTAAGAAAATTTATGAAATATGCTCATCAGGATATGAAAGAAGAACAAGTATTTCAACGAAGAGTCTCTTTTCGGCGATTTTATTTTCAAAACTGTACAGTCAGATTCACCCTTAAGTGGGTTAAAAATACACTTTCTTGATGTAGAGCTGACAAGAACAGCTGATGAAACGTTAAGTAGATTAATTCATAGAAAACCAATGTGGAATGGTCAACTGGTGAACTTTAATAACAGGGTGTCTATGAGTCGTCAGCGAAATCTGATCATATATTTTGCCACTCTTATTAGACGAATCTGCAGTCTCGACGTGTTAGAAGAGGAAATTTTTGTTCTAAATAACATTTTGATTGAAAATGGATCCGCATTGCGCTTCATATACAAACACATCAAGCCTAAACCTCGCAAAGAGAACCTTACCACCGTTCCAAAAAACACTCTAGATGAATGTAAATTTCAGAGGTGATTCTGCCGCTGACACTCTAAGAAGGAGGATATCAAAGGTTCTAAGGAAAACATTCTTCGCATCAACGCTGAGACTAGTATTCTCTTGTCGTTCAACGAGAGGAGAGACTTTTGCATCCGATCACTTCTATGTGCATATATCAATCCACCTGCTCTTGTGGAGCCAGGTATATACGTCGTTCGATGCGACTATCATCCAAAAGGGTTAAAGAACACTACCCCACTTGGTCACAAAGAGGTAACAACGGAGCGATAAGGAGTGTTATAATTGAACACAATTTGAACACGAATTACCTTATCACAACAACCTCCTCCTTCAAAGTCATCTATTCAATAAAAAAACATTCCAAAGGCTGTATGTCTTCATATTCCCTGCATCGTGGAAGCTCTTGTCAACCATATGGAGAAACCTGAACTGTGTATGCAAAATAAGATTGTTCAACCCCTTCTCCTTTCATGGTCTCAGTTTTCTGTCTTTGAAATCTTCGCCTTTTCATTTTTCTGTTTTCACTGTTGAGTGGTTTGCTGCTCATTCTTGTTGCTATGCTCTGCCTGATAACAATTCACTTTCCAATTATGTCATCATGTTACGAAAATGCTTGTCCAAACTTATTTTGATGAATATTCACTACTCATAAGTTTTTTTATTTTAATGACAGCTCGTTTATTGACACTATTTGTGTTGGCATGCTTGACAAACCGTTTTTAACCATCAAATCGTTACACTATAAATATGTATAAATTTACAACTGTACAAATTTGAAAGTGAAACCACCGGAAAGAGACTCTTCGCTGAAATATACTTGTTATTCTTAAATGAAATTATCATAATTATGTACAGAATTCAACTCAATTTTCTCTAAGAAAACAAACGACTTAAATAACAACCAAAATGTTCTCGGACTTAAATATACGATTACATAAAATCAATAAACGCATCACCCTACCATACCTAAATAATATGTCATAAATCACAACAAGATTACTAAGACCACTTGTAATTCATGTGGCTCATAAACCAACAAATTCCCTGCAAATATTATTATACAGACCAAAGTATGCAACAAGCAAAGAAGACAAACCGAATATCATTTACAAAATCAACTGCAATGACTGTAGTTAGCACTACATTGGACAAAGTGGTCGCCCTCTTCGCCTTTGTCTACATGAACACCAATTGGCTATTCTCAGCATCACGACATTCCCCCACTCATTTCAATGCACGTAGATATTTATGGACATCAATCCAATTTCGACAGCGTAGAAATTTTGGACAGAGGAAACAAAGAATATCAGAGAATTCCTAGAAGCCTGTCATTCAGGTCATTCAGTCAGTCAGCAATCAACAGATTTATAGACATAGACGCAATTTATCAATCAATGAGGAAAACGATAAATGACAAGAAAGTTAGAGGTTAAGTAGAGGGACAGACAAGAGGAAAATTCATACAGTCAATGACACAACAATCAAAGGAAACAACCAATCACAAGCCAGTTCATCAGAGCAAGTTGCTGAATCACTCACAGAGAGATATTGACAGCTCACTTCATGCTGGAGTCATTGCTGATGATTTTGCCTAGCAAGACGACTAAAGCTCCATGACTAAACAACCCAGCTCAGAGAACACAACACAACCAAGACAAGTCGTTCGATGAATAATTTACTGAACGAAAGGTGCAAACTACTGAAAGTTAAGATCAGTTAGTTAAAAGCATTCTACATTATCATATTTGATTTTATTAAAGGTGATGTAATCAGGTAGCCAGTGTGAATACGATCAAGCGATAGTAATTGGAGTGAAATAAAAATCTGGTCAGCAGTTGGACCTCGTAGCTCAAACGGTAGAGCATCAGGCGGGAAACCCGGTGATCGCTAGCTCGAATCCGGTCGCGGTCTACATTCTCATCTCACGTTCAATCATCATCCATTATAACAACGAGTAAATAATCGTATGTTGCAAATTTTGAAGAGGATAGTATGGGTATATCTGCATGATTTCGTCATATCCTACAAAACTATTTATTTCAGTAGATTTGAAAAATAATATATGATACGTGTACTAATTACTAGTAAATATTTTCATATTTTTCATTATATTACAAATGTAATGAAAAACTTCAAAAACCGTAGATGATATTTCGACTATCCTCAATAATTTGCGCGCTGTCTGGCTTTTTAAGCACGACATGAGAACTGAACCATAACATAACTTTAGTAAGATTTTATACCACGTTGAATGATATTAATGATGTTTTGAGACTTCTTCGCAGATATACGTAACTGAGGACTACAGTGTGTAACCCAGTGGTTGAAAAATATAAAAATGTTTGGTTTTGTTCTAACATATCCACTCGTCTGCTTGCACATCAGGACATAATGGCATCTACTAACTTTAGAATTACTACATTTATACATGTAGTTTTAACTGTCTATGAAACTGTAGCTGAATTTATGGGCAATTCACGGTTTAGTTGTATTAAGTTATGTACCTAGACATGTATGGTTTAGTCTCGGAGGTCAGCATATAACTACTACTAGCAAAATCAACCAGTTGGTTCGCAGAATGATATACCCTTCATTTAAACGGATAACTATACATTATTTTTCAGGAGAACGAGCATATATCTAGTCTTTTTATAATCGGAACAGTATACAGCCTCATCTTGATGTGCAATCTCATGGGTGCCCTCAACTCAATGGACCATTCGCACCATTTGTTTGCATAACCAAGCATAGTCATTCCAATCAATCACTTATACACAGTATGGAGACGCCATTTCTGACCTAACCTGCCTACATAACCTATCAAACACAGTATTACAGGCAAGAGTACCTTGCATTACAACATCCCAATGACACAAAGTCCTTAAGAACGATGCCAGCAACCATACAATTCAATGAAGTCTTTCACCAGACCGATTATTTATGTGATAGGCTTTCAGTAAACCACCAAGGTCGTTGCTAACCATACAAACATTTAGTAACTCTGGACATTAATCTGACGTACGCTATATTATGTGTATGCAGTGGTGGTTTACTAGGCAAGACAGTCTAGTATGTAGCTTTCAGACCCAAAGATGAATTTGTTTATCACAATTATATTCGAGTGAAACCAAGGGATCTAAGTATGTCTGCAGTTTCTTTCAACACACTGTGCAACAGATCTCAACTAATTGGTGTAAGGAATGGTTGATCATCGGGCTTATTGATAATTTAGGCAAATTCGATTCTAATTCACCGTTTTTATCGAAATAAAAGTTAATTGATGTTACTTTGAGCAATGAATTTATATATATATATATATATATATATATATATATATATATATATATTTATTAGTTTATTAAATTACAGTCACTGTTTTTGAATGGATGATAATTAACAAGCATTATTCTTTGATGACTTACAGTTTAGATTATTTTAGTTTTACTGAATAACACGTGCTTTTTATTCTCCTATCAACATGCTCATTACATAATCTATATTTTTGACATTTCATTTGCCTATGTAGGTCAGTACCTCTCAGGTATTCCTTGGAAAAAGTTTGGATGAACGTCAAAAATGTATCGATCGTGTATTGAATGAAGTGAACATTATACGCCAACAGTTAAGACATCCAAATATTGTTCGTTATTATAAAACATTTTTACACTGTACGTTAAACTTTGTGAATTTAAATTCTATCAATTCTTTATTACTACTAAAACTTTTAATGAGTAGAATGATTGAATGTACGGAAATAAGTTGCAATGCATGAAATATCCAAGTTTTATTAGAGTTGAGAAATGCATTCATTGGTTTTGTAAATACTTCGATCGTTTCTAGCATCATCGGTAAGGCAACTGATGACTGGAAATTCTTGTCATTCTAACAATAACAAGGCACCAAAATACAATTTCAAAACTATTAAGGTAGAATTCTGCCGTAACGAGTCATCTACTTTCAGAGTATTTGCTTTCTTGTTTTATTCTTCTTCCCCATATAGTGTAGATGGGAAATTCCTTGATATAATTATGAAGTTACTGGTTAGGTGAGTGGAAGTTAATAAACTTCTGCAGCACCCTCCAAGTTAATTGTTTCTCAGATTTTAATCAAACCTCATATTACCACGGCGAAAAAGAAAGTATTATATACAAAGACTGACAGTTCTGGTAATGATCACAAGCAGTGGTGAGTACCGGGTAGCAACTGACAGTTGTTTAAGTACAATGAACAAAACTGGTCGAGAAAAAGAAAAAGCTATCGAAAATATTAGTGTTGCAGATACACAATTGATAAATTTTCGAAGTATATCTGTTGAACAGTTTGCACTACATTGTGAAGAAGTGTTCCATTTATCAATGGTTACGCTGTAGTCACTAGCTATGCACTGAAAGTTTGATCAAAGTGCAGGAATATGCCATCTAACACTTAAAGAGATTGACAAGGCTGATAGAAATCTGGGAAGGATTCAGAAGATTGAGAACTGGTGCCTTATTTGTAGTTTTTAAGTATGTAATGGTTAGGAATCATATTTAGTATATGGGCAAGGTGTAATATGGTTGTGCACACCACTGAATATTCTCAAAGAAGGAAAGTAGAATGAATTATCGAAAGAATGAATGTCAAATAAACACTGGTTAATCGATTTCTTATCATTTAGTTGTCTAGTTCGAGACTACTGACTAATTTATAAGTAGGCTTTAATGCCTGGTATTATATGAGAAATAAGTAGAGATCAAGTTATCTTTTTCCGACCTCTTACCTTCCAATGTATAACTAATCTTAGAATCAAACCATACGGACTTATTTCTTGTCGAACACTCACTGTTAGATCTCAGTGTCTAAATTATTAAACTTCACTGAATTGGCTAGCAATAAAAGAGGTGGGTTATGATCAAAAGACCTACTGGAGTATATCTGTTTATTTACGAACCGATTTACACATGCAGATGTGTACATTTCAGCCGTGATCTACAAGTTTCTTTTTTTTCAGTGGAGGAATCCAGTTATTAGATAAAGCCACCCTGTAACGGCTTCCTTTTTACTAGTGGCTTATTCATCTGATGTATACATTGTGTTACTTATCAAAGTTACTCCCAATGTGTCCGCCCTAATTGTATGAAAGTGATTTCATCAGATTATGATCAAGTTTAAATTTCTTCTCTATTCTTTTCATCTCAAAGCTGATCAACTGTATATTGTAATGGAATTGTTAGAGGGGGTTTCGTTAACAGAATTACTTGCATCTACAAAAGAGAAGAAGACATATTTCAGTGAATCCCGTGTATGGAATATATTTGTACAGTTATTATTAGCAATACGTTATTTACATAACGAAAAGCAGATATTACATCGAGATCTATCATCAAATAATATAATGATCAGTGAAGGAGATAAGGTGAGTACATATTGTCTACATGGGTTTCCATGACACTTATACATTCTATACTGTAGTCTAAGCAACAGTATGTGAGTTGTAGTAACTCTAAGTGATGTACTGCTTTACGAATTTCTGCGTTGATTCATCTAACTAGCTGGCTGTTCAACTGATAATCTTCTTCAACGTTAATTTGCTGAAGACGCAAAGAGCATTAATCTGGTTCCATATTATGCTTACTGACAAACTGTGTGTTTTGATGATAGAAAGCAAACACCTAAAATCCTTGAAAATGTGGTAAACTACAGAATATACATCACTGACATCTGAGTATGTGGTAGTCAATCTAGCCCCGTTTCTAGACACGCGGGATCTCACTAAGCTCTGTTCATTACCAGTAGTCCGTCGATAATTTGATAAACATCTCAGCTGTTTCAGACAACTTGCAAACTTTCGAATGTTGAAGGATAACAATAATTTTGAATCCATATATGCTAAAATGGTTCAAGAAAGATCTTCATCAATGTTATCTTATATGTAACATGATCATTTTAGCTATGTGGGGAAGATATTGAACTACTTTAAATTACAGTATAATCGAACTCGGCACTCATGATATTTGTGTTAAACTGAATCCATTTAGAAATTGCTGTTACCTTAGATTGAATTTTCAACAGATGATATTTTTCATCAGTGACAAAGTCATGCAACCTTTTGATCTAAGTTTTCTTTTTAATACTTATTTATTATTTTATATAATGAAGAAGTTTTCAAGTTGATATTTTCATTCAAAATCTCTACTACTTTTTTCTTCTTTCATTTTAGGCTACTATCACAGATTTTGGTTTGGCATATCATAGAAAACTGGACTTATGCGAGACGAAGTCAACTGTTGGTACATTAATTTATGCATGGTAATAAAGTTTGTTGACGATATTATTAGTATTCAGGCTACCTGTGTAAGAGGTTCTAGCGTATAAATTACATTGATATATTCAGTATGAAATCATTTCTGCATACTAGGGTGTAGTAGAAGGGACTTCATTTTCTTCACGAAATATGAAGATTGAAGATTTCCTTTCTATAGCCTGTAGACATAAATTTGAGTGACCACAGTGATCTAAGTTTCTAGCTTTCGATTTCTGTTGTCACGCTACTACAGTGTAATAGCCTATACGTTGTTACACGGATATAGCTATCAGTCACAGAATTCATCTACTGCTGTCACATTTTGATCTGACCGCCTTTAACTTCCTGTCAGTGTAAAATTAAGTCGGGTAACAGTGTGCACTAGAGTAGACGCTGATGAGGTTTGCGTAACACGTACCTGTTGTATGATTTGAGGAAGATTTACAGCTGAATCAATGAACATGCCCATTTTATCTCTGATTCTACACCTGACTTCTACACTTCCGGTGTGATAGCCCCATAAAAGATGAGCAGTGATATGAAGGCAGTGATGGTCAAACACCTGATGCCCGTAATCCTTTGTGGCTATGTTTCACAGTCACAGAATAGGAAAGAGTCAGTCCCAACTTATTATTATTATTTATGCCTTGGGTTCCTAGTGGAACATAGAGCTTCAGTGACACATCTCCACTTCACTGTGTTCTCTGCAGTCTTTTCAACCTGGCCCCACCACTGCCCACAAGCTTTCATTTCTTACTTAGACCATCTCATCCATGTCGTCACCCGTAGACACCCAACTCGTTTTTTCCCATTTGGATTCCACTGGAGCGACTGGCCTGTGTGTGAAGTCCCCGGATGGTGATTTCAGTGTTTGCCCAATCCATCTCCACTCTCTTCTGAATATTTGTTGGGAGATGGGTTCTTGGTTGATTCGTTGCCAGGCCACAGTGAGTTCTGGCTATCTGATCTTCACTGTCAGTATCGAGTGAGCGTAGGCAGCAGCTGTTGAACATGTATGTCTGTAGTTTGTTGAAAATGCTATTCGTAAAGCGCGGCCAAGTATCTCAACCATCACACAGAAGCACTAACTCACTTGACTGAATTATTGTTGAAAATCCGGATCTTGTTCACGCTTTATGCTGAGTGCAGTGGGGTGGATCTCCACACTGATTTCAGATTTATGCACGAAGGCCTATCTTTCCGTTTTTCCGATCCTGATTGCTCTGACATCCTCATCTGTGCCACCCCCTATAGTGGAAACGGTGCTGCCTTGCCTAGGTAGGTGAAAGACACTACTTCCTTTCGATTTTTCTCGTTGATGGTGATTAGTGCTTGTTGTTGTTGGTTGGGTATCTTCATCACCTGTGTCTTCCCTACGTTCACCTGAGGTCCCTTCTTCTTTGGCTGCCTCCCCTCTTCTGTCAACTTGTTGGTTTTCGTCTATTGTTCTTGTAGTTTGTGCAACACTAGAGATAAATCATCATCGGCGGCGAAATCCAAGTCTTCTAGGGTCAGTTCCAACTTATCCACCTTTTTTGCTTTCATTGTATCCACTATTACACCTCAAGTTTATCCATTCCAGACATGTCAGTCATTTCGGACATATAGTATCCCTAGTCTTTAGCTGACTAAGTAAACTGCAGCAGATCCCTTGAAATCAGTATATGCTAATCTGTTTGATAGTACATACTTCATACAAGAGGGTCAATTCAATCGAGTTTTCCTTGTTATCTTTGTAGTATATCACTTCTTGCTGAAATTAATATCTCCCAGTTGAACATGCTTGCTGTCGGGCATACAGTTGTCCCATCTGATTGAAAGATACCGAGGTTAGAGAAATAAATGACATAGAAAGAAGAAAGAATTGTCTTAGTGACCAAAATAACATTCTATTATAGACGTGTGAAAGTGAACGAAACTATGTATAATATTCATTATCTTTACATTCCAATGTCTTGTTTCATTCTTATCTGCTATGCATCTGAAAACAAGAATATAATAGTACTTACAAATTGTCTTATTTTGACCATTATAAAGTTGATTGGTAGAAGTTTTTGATCAACAATAACGTTATTTTAGCTTCGTAATTCTTTTCTCTTCCTCTAAGCTCAACAACTGGGTCAGATTATTACACCTTCAACGTATATAGTTCGTAGCCTAGTAAATAAACCTATGCTATATCGTTAACCAACAGTGAGAGTTTTGAACAACTATGCCATAAAAGTATGAAACGGAATAATTTATGAGAAAAAGAGACTGATCTGATCAAATTTCATCATATACTGTGACCTTTGGAATGATATTTTGCTGCCTATTATGGATACCGCTTCACCGTACAAGCAAGATCACTATAAATAGCTTGATGTTGAAAATTTCAATAACCCTATAGTCTTAATATTGATTCCATTTATGAGGAGGGAAATATTTTATTACTAGGCTACATGTGACGGTTTTATAACTTCATTATGGCTTACAGTCTTTCAAATAGATGATGCTAAAAGACCCATTGCCAGTTAGATTAAGCCATCTAGTTTTAACCTATAAGAGGTAACACGTTGCCAAACTATTACGTCTATCGTTACGATATCCGTTAACAATCAGCATTTCTACTGTCTGATGTACAAACATATTCTTTGTTTTATTACTTCATGCCATTTGAGTATAATAGTACAACTCATTTCAGCGCTTAAAGGTACCAGTTCCTTATAATTGTCCATTAGATGATTATCTTTTCTGTAAAGAATCACAAGACTAAACTGAATAAATGAATAGGGTAATTTTGACCTTTTTTCACAGGGATACACCACTCTCTACCTACAGTAGATTTCACAATTATGTTGGACAAGAATTTACGAACAAAATTACAACTATAATTGATACTATTTACTTGGTTTATGAATATAACGCGTCCAGTTATTATTACTATTATTTATGAACTGGATATCTAACGTTTATGAAAATTACTTCTTACTACTGAAAAGAATTCAGGTGAACAAATATCCATCATATGAATGAATGATTGTTATAATAATCGAGTGTGTTACTATATGAAGTTTTCTTCAGTCAGTAAAGTGTAACACAATAGACACTGATATGATTAGTTAGATCAGTTTATATTCTAGCATTTTTTGTTTTCTTATATACTTTTCAGTCCGGAAATGATACAAAATCTACCTTATGGTGAAGGTGTAGATATTTGGGCATTGGGTTGTATTCTTTATCAAATGTGCACATTCATCTCACCATTTCATGGGGAATGTATTCTGAGTACTGCTTCACGTATTGTTAAGGGTGAATATGAATCTATTAGAAGTAGATGTCAAAATCAATATTCTCATCTTGTAGACGAAGTTATAAAAGCATGCCTTAATCCTGATCCAATAAAAAGACCTAATGTTACAGGTAAACAGAATATAATTATTGTTTTTCACTACGTATGTATATATTTCTAGTTTTCTATGCAGTTTTGTTTTCCCTAACTTTCAAAAATTAGCTCAAACCTTGACTTCTAGCAAAAATTTATAACTGTGAATTACAAAGGATTAACCAACTTCCTGAAACATTCCTTATCAAAATTTCGCATTATTATTGTATCCGTAACTATAACACTAAGAATTTATGATGTGTTACTCATGTAAAAAGCCATTGAACAATTAATCCACTTCCCTGTGATTGATCACTTTCAAGGATGTTACACAATTGTTCGAATTCAATATTCAAGCGTTTTATTCTTATGGAATTAGTTATTTTGAAAAGGTAGAGAAACTTCAGACTAATATTCAGTATAAATCAAACAACCAATAATAACCGAAAAGTAAAATGTAGCTATTTCACCTGATTTCTGAGTACAGTTGCATCAGAGATACATCAATCTTATATATTAACCTATAACTTTTATAGTAATTTTAAAATGACAGAATACAGTAACTTGATCTTAAGAAAAGGCAAGATGTGGTTGCAGCGAAGAACATTTTTTTACTTTCAATGAAGTCATTTAATACGCTGTACATCGGTGAATGTTTGTCACAGTTGGCAGAATGTCCCAGAATTACTTCCGGTTAGGGGACAAATTATAGTGAATAACTGAAGGAAGTAAATTAATATATATTTAGGTTTAGAATTACAAAATAGACAAGGGATTATGAAGTCAAAAGTAACTATGCAATATAGGATGAATTTATAGCAGAGTATGAAAATGAACGAAGGGTTATGAAAATAAAATTGTAACTACGTAATGCAGGTTAAATCTATGACAGTTAAGACTTTATGATGGTCATTGCATAACGCTGGTTTGAACTTCTGGATGGCTAGTGCTTCACCTATAGATAAATGCCTTGATCTTACTCCCTTCGAGTGATTTGATCGGATCCTGACTAGGATTTTGAATGAGCTCTCAAAAGGAGCTAACTGGCTCGAGTTCACAAGGTGTTCTATCATTGAAATGAACATATATTTCCATTCTCCCTTGGCGAGCTAGCCAGGCTGGGTAGTGTTGAAGTATTTCACCTGATTTGCTGAATAACATTTTCATCAAGTTCACACAGTGTACAATGTTCATTCGTGCTTCAGTCTTCTGCTTGACTGACTTTCCATTGAAACTTCAACTTATTATGCATAAGTTATCGTTGTCACTGGATAAGTGGTGTTAGTAAAGAGATATCAATTCACTATTAAAAATGAGGTGTGATGAAGATACCGCACCAACAACTCCAACAACAACAACAACAACAACAACAACAACAAACTCCAATCACCGTCAACGGGAGAAACTTAAAAGAAGTAACCTCCTTCACTTATCTAGGAGGCACTGTTTCAACTACAGGCGGGACGGACGAGGACGTCAAAGTCAGAATCGGAAAAGCAAGACAGGCGTTCATTAGCCTGAAACCAGTGTGGAGATCTTCTGCACTCAGCATGTGGAACAAGATCCGGATTTTCAACACCAACGTCAAGTCAGTGCTCCTGTATGGCTCAGAGACTTGGCGCGTTACGAAAGGGAGTTCCAACAAACTACAGACATTCATCAACAAGTGCCTACGTTGGCTAGCTACTGAAGATCAGATGGATTGCCAGAAAGAATAAGCAACAAGGAACTCTGGGAACGAACCAACCAAGAACCTATCACACAACAAATATGCAGAAGGAAGTGGAGATGGATTGGGCATGCACTGAGAAGGCCGACTGTGGACATCACGCGTCAGGCCAGGCCCTCGAGTGGAATCCCGATAGGAAGCGACGAGTTGGACGTCCGAGGGTGACATGGAGGAGGTCGTGCGAGGAGGAAATGAGAGGTTGTGGACTGTCGTGGAACCAGGTTCAAAAGATCTCAGAGAACAGAGGTCACTGGAGGCGTGCTACTGAAGCCCTATGTTCCACTAGGAACCCAAGGGACTAATAATAATAATAATAATAATAATAATAATAATAATAATAATTAAAAATGAGGTAAACAGCTGCCAGATTATCTTCTACTAGTTTTTAACATGCATTCACAGCTCACTTTATTATTGACATAAATTTAAATTGTATCTTTCATTCTATCCCTAGTTATTAATGTGTACTGCTGACTGAAAATATCAGTACTAATTTGTAATCCCTTCAACCAGCTATTCATTTACTTCTATTTATGAATACTTCTCTCATTTTCAGGTGTTGCTGTTTATCTGACTAGTGTTATCTTGTCACAACTGGATGCTTCCCGTCTTAAATGTTCAAAAATGAAAGCAAGATTGAAAGAGTTTCAAAGTACTTTCACGTGTGACTTTTGCTGTTCATCAAGTTCTATTCAAAAGAAATTGGATGGATTAAATACGTATGAAAAATATACTACTGTCAATAATATCAGTAGTGTAAGTTGTGAGCTACTCATTTGTTCAACGAATAAATAGAAAACTCAGTAGTTGTAATTGAAACTTGATGTATGTCTTGATTGAGAAGAAAATGGTCTATTGATCACACTTCATAGGCGGATTCTTGTTCTTTTTATGAACCCCACAATGTTTCTCTGAATTTTCATCATAAAATAGTGACAACTACTGTTCGTAGAATAAAATGTTACTGGAATGACTCACTAACCTACTGGATACCACATTGTGGTGGAGTTTAGTTTTCGGCATCATTGAGAAAACTGACCAACTACAGTGTTGACCCATCGATCTTAGCAGTCTCACATGCGACGACATTAACTCGAACTTTATTGCTCTTCAATGCAGATTTAGGTTGGAGTTATCAGTGCTACTTATCTTTCCAGAGTGAGGTAAGCTAATTTCTTTTTGAGTGTTTACGAGCCACTGGGAACTTAAGACCTCGATGACTCTGCTACAACTCATTTGTTGTTTATCCTAAGCATGTGCAAAATATATTAGGAAGATGCGAAATGGCAATGCTGTGTGACGGTTCAAGTTGCTTGCCTATATCTCCATCGTCCGTCTTAACTGATGCTTTGGTTTTAACGTGATTCATTGTATTCCTTTTTCAAATTAAGGTTAGGTAATTCTTAGTTAATATTTGTGACAGTCTTCTTCTTTTTCATGAGTCTTTTTATCATCGAATAATATATGTCACCATTAATCCTGTGTAATTGTTGCGTTCCCCTCTCGATCTATGATTGGTTCTCTTCCTGTGTTGTCTGCTCCCAGTTTAACATTCATGTCTTCCAGCCGTGGTCTTGTTCATTACTGACTACAGTTGTCTATAGAATTCCTGCTCCTTATCTTGATCTGTGTTATTTGTAGGTGCGTTGCGTAGCACTGTATGATTTTGACATTCCTTTCTTTTGAGTTGAATCTTGCTGTCATGATCCTGATGCTGGAGGAGATTGGTTCCCGCTGCATGAGAAAGAGCCTTCGGTGCTGTTGGGGACACCATGATAGCCACTCGAAAACTCAATGTGTTGTGCTCGTGGTTGTCGTCTGGATGACAATATCGGAGTGTATTATTGACTCCTCTCCAGTTGACAGTTTGGAGCGTCCACTTCCATTTCATCTGCAAATTCGTAGCAGATTCCTAGCCTAGCACTTCTATACTATACCTTCTCACCTCTTTGGCAATCTGGCCAGCCTTTCTAGGTTCATACATGGTGTGGACATTCCATGTCCCCATGTTTACTTTTGCTTTCATCTAGGGGTAGAAGACACATCGGCCAATTGGCTTCCCGAAGGCTTCCACCAACTGGCGTCATTTCGCCTCTCCGATTCCAGCGAGAAATAAGTTCATTTTTATTTTTTATACTTTCTCTGTGCTTTGAAGTTTCTTTGTCGATTGGATTAGTTTTACGGGGTAGGGTTGGTAGCCCTATGTCCAACCTTTCCTCTTTATCCGAGCTTAGAACCGGCTAGTAAACTAAGCGAGGTTATTCCCCTTGTTCACTTGTATAATATTAAGCTTCGAATGTTAACTCATCATTGCATCAGAGTGGTTCTAATGAAATTTTTTTAACCCTCCATATGTCAACAAATCGTGAAACATACTTTTGCGCACTCTTAAAATGTCTTCAGTTTTCAGTTAGACGCGTTAACAACGAAACTGCAAAATAATATCACAGTAGACGGCAGTTGACTCCTGAACGCACAGAAGTGTGTCATATAGCTAGTACAGAATCACGTAAGAGGAGAAGCAAATTTGCATACTGGATGCATGAACTTACATGTGCTTCTCTATCCAACCCACATGAAACAACATGCAAACTAGATGATGACCTAAAAACTATTGGTTGTTGTGCTTTACTGTCTATCATTCCATTATTAGTAAGCCCATGACAGTACATCATATAACTATTACTAAAATGTTACTGTTTATTGATATACTTGTAATCCTCCGTTGTTTTATTGGATCGAATTGTTCGACCTCAGTGGAAACATTACTCAGTGGGGTGCAGATACATCCACTTGACGAGTCCCAAAGAGGACAAAACGCCTGTCGTAGATTCCTCTGCTAGCCATAACAAACTAAATTACCATAATCGACATTCAGACAATATCGAGGCATCCACATAGGAGCCCACATGCCAACAGAGGTCGGACAGCTCGATCCAATGAAACAACGGAGAATGACAAGTATGTCAATAAATGGTAATAACTACTACCCGTCGTACAAGAAGTGGCTATCGTTCCTCCGTGGCACAGTGGATAACGCCTTGAGGTTCGAAGCGATGGGTATGAGGTTTCAATTCAAGTGGGGACAACACCACTCACTAGGATGGAGGTACATCCAGCTGATGAGTCCCAAATAAGACAAAACGCGCGTCCTGGATTCTTCTGCTGGCCACAACTAACTAAATTATGACTAAAATGGTTAGTACTAACTACAGGTCTCCACTCTAGACTTCTCATTGCCCAACTTACGTCCTCTTATTTACTCTCATGTAATAACTAATCACACACAGTGCTTCCTATCGATTGACCCCAACACAGTGTGGCGTAACTTCGCCCAGTGGTTACATTACAAACTTGATCAATAGACTTGGATGAATGGTGAGTGAGTAATAAGGTCTAGGTAGCTGGATTAATAGCCCACTAGTGACCAACTCGTGAACATATTCCAATCATACAGCAGATCAGTTGCTGCTTGAACAGCCTATTTGTTAAATGTCTAAATTCAGCACTGAGTGACACTGGTTAGAAACACCGATGAACATCAATTAGGTCATGTTTGCAGATATATCTTGCTAATGAGTGGAAATAAGCAGAACATTGACTTCTAAAGCTTCCGGCTGATTAACTTTCACCACATAACATTTCATATTTAATACTTTCAACATTACCAGAAGGAAAACATAGTCAAGTCGTGTTGATTTACAACTTTATTCACAAAGCGTATATCAATGAATATATTTTCATCTCACGGTAATTATCTCAAGGATTCCTTGTTCGTACTTTTATTACAGAATGGCATATCTATCTTAAACGAAGAAAGTGAGTGATTTTTTAACAATAGAATTATTAAATTATTATTAATCATTAACTGAACTGTGTATTCCCTGCTTTATATCTTAACTGGACTTGTCTGATCTTTTTATTTGAATAGATCAGATGTTTTATGTCTGAATATGTGTAATTCATTCTAAACTGTCAGATAATAACAGTAGGTAATAGAAAATGGTATAAAAGGGAAACTTTTCTTAAGGAACATCTGCCATTCCTGGAATACTTCCACATAACTGACTAGTTGCTGTAATTCTATTGTGCAGCTTATGAAATTGTGTATTAGTTGTCGTAACAATTAGGCTATATATTAAATTGATTTATATTCTCGTGAGGATAGTACTGACGAAATCGCTACATATAAGTAATCAATGAGATGCAGACTGATCCTTGATTCTTGATAAATGTACCCTGCTTGAATAGATTGTTAACCAAATGGTAAACTTCATCAACGTCATGTTTACTAAGATTTAGAAAATATTCCAATTATCTAAAAGTGTTGCAAGAAACTGGCTGATACTTTGCTAAATGACATATTACTTCCTTAAATTGATGTGATATTGGGTTCGAATGTTTCTCCATCTATCAAGGTATGAGCAGTCATGTAGTATCATTAGCCCTCATACAACAAGTATGTCTCATTGCCTACTGTATAAAAGTTTACTTGGTTACTCAGACAATTTTCATTCAACTGAATTCCATTACATTCTGACAATCAAAATTGAAATGTATTTCCAGTGACTGATTAAATCTTTTGGGATTACTAATTCCTTCGAAAGTAATCGATTTTGTTACTCAAATAAATTGGATCAGTTCAAATAGAGTTCAACTCCACTTTTTCATAGAAAAGTGAATACTTCTAAAACTGCTGCTTTTTCTCAAAGTATTTATGTATAGGTGATTTAATTGCCTACTTCACCCATTGACTTAGATGCTAGAGCATTGCTTACTGATATATCATTCCATAGTATAAACATATTATCCAGTGGACTTCAACCTGTATACATTCAGAGATGTATGCAAACATTCTCAGCTGACCTCTTGTTGTGAGTACTTTAGCAACATGATGGTATGGTATTGACACATGGTGCCTATTTACCAAATGTTGTTGTTTACTCTGAAGACTGAAGCCTACTTACTGTTTGTAGAGTCAAGTAAATGTAAGGGTATTTTATCCAGTAGAATAGTTTATCTACAACTTATAAGCAATCAACTGGCTAGAAAGAAATGTTGGGGAAAACATAACAATCCTCCACAATATCCGTGCTCTTTACTAGTGTTGATCAGCGTAAATTTGAGAACTTGATTAACACTTGTCAAGTGCTATGCCAAACACTATACTAAGCATTACACAATTCGCTTCACTGGACTTGATAATCCTATCAAATTTTAGTCGTATGTTTTGCAGCTAACGACTAGAAATTGTTTTATATTCTGTATATTAGGACAGTGTAAATCTTGATGACTCACTTGATCTAGTTCTCAGCTAATTTTCCTCAAGTTAATAAGAATATATTCAGGTGTACATCACAACTAATTTTCATCAGTTCGTTAATGATTATCTGCAGATAGATTGTATGGGCAGTGAGAAATAGTTCTGTCCTCTAACTGACCCACTGGTCAGCTAAATCACTCTGTGTATTGCAACAGAGGCTCTTCTAACTTGATTTAAACACACAATAAGATTTTCCATTGATAGGATAATAGCAGGCTTCATTTTCAAGATCATTGTATCATCATTATAACTGAACTATAATGGACTACTTTAACTATCATTTACAAGTCTTTCCAACTAATAGGTTGTAATTCTAATGCTTTGTTGTGTAATTTACTTATTTGTTGTACTATTTTACAACTTGAAATATGCATGAAATGCATTAGATACATCTGAAATGTCAACTCCACAAATAAGGCGAACAGTTGTACTGAACAAGAATAATCTACGTGAAATTAATGATCCAATACTTGATATGGTTTCAGTTATGCACAAGTTGGGATATCTTTGTCAAGAATTACCATTGAATATCAACTCAAAGTATCATGTTGTGCAGTGCATAATACAAAGGTTACTTCATTTACTCTTAATTTTTGCAAATATTATTTTCCATTTTAGTCTGTTTATTAGAAATATCACACAGTGAAACAGTAGCATTTACTGGATAACATTTCGGACACAATTTATTGTCCATATGCATATCAGGTCAGGTAACTTCACAACTTCGAGACAGACTTTATATATTCCTAATACTCTCTCCTTCTCTGTGATGACAAGAATAGTAGAATTTTCCATATATGTGGGACAGGTGCAGAATCGTTTCGATTACACGTGTTTGGTGTTGGTTCGATCAACAAAGATCCGGTTATCAATCTCTCCCTCCACCCAACTAACTTAGTTTTCGACACTGTTGCCCTATCCCACCCTACTGTGTGATTGTGTATCATCGCATGCAGAGCTATAGTCGAGTTTTTCTTCAGATTTCTTATCTTATTAGGTAGGATCTACAAATCTTGATTTGGCTTAGTTTTTGTGCTCTGTTATTCTAATCGACCCTAGTCGACTACTTTGACCAACTTATGTACTTGACCTCGCAATCATTGCAAAAGATTTGGTAAACCAGATTATTTTGTTTAATTGCATCGATAGGATCTTTTAACCTACAAAGCTTGTTCCTAAATGAGTTTGTTGGTTTGATTGCCACTCTAATGCCAGCCAGCCTTATTGAGAATTCTTCGTAGTGCTTCTGAGGTGCCTTCCTTGTATGTTAGCACATTAGAGGCTTTGAATTCTCTCTTAACCCTGTCGCCATTATTACCATTATTAATAATAGCACCTGTATTACGACTACTACTGTCACTGCTAATGTTTTTCTTCTGATTTCTCATGAATTTATTTATAAATTTTGGTGAGTAATTACTTGGATATAGGGTATTCTTGGTGTGTCTAATTTCTTGTCTCAGATTTCCCGATCTACTAGTAAGCTTTTTCGCTCTATCACTTAAGCATTTAACTAGGCCTACTTTAACTGAAATGGGGCGGGAAGATTTGAAGTCTAAGTAGAGATACAAATGGGTAGGTTTCCTATAGACCCTAGTCTCTAGATTTCCTTCTTGTATTCGTTTAATCTTGCAATCCAACATTGCTAGCTCACCTTCTTCACTTTCGAAGTCACAGGTAAATTGGATTGCGTTGACTGCTGAATTTATATATGCCAAGAACCTATTCGTGTGTTCCGATTTCAATAGTGTAAACGTATCATCTACATATCAGAACCATATCTTTGGAGTAGGACTGAATGGTTGAAGGGCTACCTGTTCCCAACTATACATAAATATGTCTGCGACGATGGAGGATATTAGTAATCCCATGGCAACACTTTCAGTTTGTTTATATATTTTATTTTGAAACTTAAAAACTGTAGATGTTAGGCATAATCGTACTCCTAGTATGATTTCCTCGATCGACAGCTTAGTTCGCTGCGTAAGTTCTTTGTCATCTTTAAGCCCATTTCGAACTGCCTCCAGAGCCATGTCAATCGGTATATTTGTGTAAAGGCTAGTTATGTCAAAACTAACCATTTTTTCACTGTAGTCTAACCTATGCTTTAAGTCATAAGAGTTGGTAAGTCGAGACTTTGAGTGATTTCTTATTGGACCTAACACCATTGCTAAATATTTAGACAACTTGTAAGTCGTAATTGTGTCCGAAACATTATCCAGTAAATGCTACTGTTTCACTGTGTGATATTTCTAATAAACAGACTAAAATGGAATTACAATCGACCACAGTGCTCAAGTTTTACACTTATATTAAATATTATTTAGTTTGGTGCTCTAATGTAATTAGTCTTTACAAATCATTCGACCCAATAACAAAATGAAACTAGTCAACTAGAAATTGTAAAGAAGCTTAGATTGACAATAGTACAGAGCCAGTAACTTGAAGACCATTATTTCAAGTCTTGTCATGATCCAGATTTTCATTTCACCTTAAATCATTATCTAGTATCAAGAGTATGTTTCCTTTGAAAAATCAACTACATGGACACAGATTAGTAGTTCAATGATGGAATTCGAATCACTTAGGGTAAAACGTTGATGATTGTGAGAATATGTTGTTGAGAATTATGATCTTGGAAAATAAGATCAAGAAAATCTCGACAAATTCCATTTGATTCTGATCAACAAGCAATTGATGCATATCTTACTGTTTATTCATTTTCCATATTCACGTTGAATTAACTATGCACTAATATAGAGATAAAGTGTATCCAGTAAATAAACCACTACTGGTAATCTTTATCATGTTGGTATTCACCATAGATTAACATCAGTTGTAGAACCGTTAAAAATCTGGCAGCACTGAAGAGTGTTGTTTTGTCTCAGCATGAGACTCCTCAGCAGGTGGAACTCATGACTCACCATGGATTGAAACCAGTTCTTTCAAGTTTCAGGAAACTACATCTCAAAGTGGATAGTGAGTAATCCAATCATCTTTTTAATTACTCATGTGTTCCTCTGTTACTGCGCAAGCTAAAGGTAGTCATTCAGGTAAATAGAATTCTCAACTGCAATAGTGAAAAATTGCTATAAAATATGAGATCTATGTATATCTTGTTCCAGTATGTTTATCATTCCTAAACTAGCCACCATTTATTTCACCTTGTTTTATCGTATTTCTCTTCATAGCTATCAACGTTTGTTATTTGCTGCTGGTATACAATCAACTTTATTGAAAAGTGAACTATTCAAACTTGCCTCTTATAGTTGTGAATGTGTGAATAGTCGATTTTTGGAGGCAAACATATACACAGTTATAGAGGAAGTTGAAAGTGAGACGAGTAATTCATTGTTCAGTATTCTTGAAGGTAGTTAGTCATTTTCATCTTTAATTATCAGTTTATTGTTTGAAATGACTCCTGGAAAATGATTTTGACTAATTTTTACCCTTTAGAGATTAAACACTTTATAGAAACAGAAAAAGCGTATCTCTCAATAGCCACAAACTGTTTCTTATGTAAATTTGTTAAAAGTACTAAAATCGACGTATATCTTTCGATGTTGTAGCTTGGTAAGCGACCATTATTGATTTGAGCGAATTGATCGGCCAGTATTGGCATATGGGCTTCGGTGTGAATGCCTCGATGTTGTTGATATTTTCAATGTTAATGCTGCGGATGCATACTAAGTGAACTTCACTCCTAATCAATATCCACCATGAATATTAAAAATTGACGATAGTGACATGATTGAAGCAAGTGTGTTTTGATTTCAATACACTTATTTATTGGGTTACCTCAGACAAAGTTTAGATAAATGGAGTAAATGATTCACTGTGAAGTGAAATATCCAAGAGAGATGTTGTATTCAGGAGACTTTGTTAATTTGGTTATCACTTCCTTGTATGTGGAAAACCATTGAAGCATCGAAGGCTTTCTTTGATCATTTACTTAGGATACCAAACGCCTGTGTGTTACTATGCCTAACTGAAATAACAGAATTTTAGGATTACAACTATACTACTACTTCAAGTTGTTATTCATCGTAGACTAACATCAGTTGGAAGAACAAAGGAAAGCTGGGAGTACTAGACATCTATTTCGTCCTAGTGTGGGACTCCTCAGCAGTGAGCGCCCACGACCCCGCCATGGATCGAACCCACAACTTTCAGGTTCCGTGGCCAGCATGTTACTATTGAGCCACTGGGTCAGAATCCAATGGTTCATATTCCCAACCTCAGTTAGCTCACGATATAGCGCAACCGAAACTACTACTATTACCAATAATAATAATAATAATAGTAATAATAGTGCCCAGTAACAGTGATTCTTTATTTTTGCTTAATAAGATAATATGTATGGAATAAAAATTTTGAATTTTTTGTTTTTGCATAGAATATTCACCAGATTTGGCGGTCACATTGAAGAGAACCAAACAAATCGACTATGCTATTTTAATGTATTTAATTAACTTATTATTAAGGGAATGTACAACATACTTTTCTTCAAATAATGAACAACATCTAGAATAGATGTTAAACTATCACATTCTGTTCAAAATGATCAATGTCTGTTTAAACGCTGGTTTATCATTTCACCCATTTGTAACTAAATTTTCCCGAATATATTTTCTAAAATAGCATGTTTATACCTCCAGTTTGATAATTCATTTTTATATTATAGGAAACAGAATACTTTCCTTGATGTCATTATTAAGTACAAGAAAAACTTGTGACAATTTTATATTCTTTAGTAGTGGAATTGATTTCTAATAGAAGTTGGCTGAGAGACACAGTTTAACCAGTAATTCTCATCTATCCATTATCTTATCATTATCTTTCTTATCATTGAATTCCTTTGTCATATTTGTCCTTCCCCTACTTTCAGTTTTCATATATAATGCCTTAACAAGTAAATATGTGATCAGATTGTTCGAAATGTATAGCGCTAATACATCACATGTTATTCAGATAATCTACGTCTTCTAATTACATTATCCAAATTCATAAAAGGGACTAATTGTTTCAAAAATCATTGAATACTGTTGAAAAAGTCTGACAGAAATGATGAATAAATTCGTTCATAGGAACAAAAAATAAATTCATCTTACCTACAAAGCTAATCATCCAACAAAAATAATCTAGACATACAACGAATATAAGACTGAAAGTCAGAAAGAAACGATGACTATAATGACAGTGAATTTATTACTCACTCATGAGGGAAGGGGAGTATAGAAGGAAAGCGTTTAAGAGTATGACAATATCAGAGAGTAAACATGTTTTTTCTATGCACAGAGTTCATATTTGTCATCTGCGTAATCACAAATATCTGTCTCTATTATGCAAATGGCACAAAACAAAACTTCATTTAAACTATATGATTTGACTTTTTGAATATACTTGGAAATCGCTGTGCTCAAGTCCTGTGCTCTGAAATAACCAATGACTTAAGCATTAGATAGTATACATTGTATGGTATATGGAACCAGTTATACATTAGCAATTCAATATGTATGTATACATGCATGTATAGGCATTTTGATAACCTGAGACTCGAACATCTCCTTCAATGTATGAATATTTTCAAAGTTCTTCTTTCAGTGAGCAATAAGTTTGACTACCATTTGTCAATCTTTTAGTTCTTATATTCTCGTGAATCATTTGTTATTCATTTTGGCTTCAACTTATCATCATTTAACTGACGAATGATTTCATGATCTAATTTATTCTTCGTCTTTGTCCATTGCAATCTTCTGACTGTTACTACTTCTCACTCGCTTCAGTAAACAATTTTTCATGTGAATAACATTGGTGATGGATATTTTCACTAAAAATCTCCTAATTAAATCTCTTAAGGAACAACTGGTATCTCTTTGATTTGATGTTCATATAATCTCCGTTTTATTTACTAACTAATAGGTGTTGGGATTCATATTTATCTCTTTGAGTCAATCAGTTATTGTTGACAATGTAAAGTGTGTACATGAAGAATACTCACTTTCCAGTGTTGTAAAGTGTAAGATGAAGAAATGAGTAATCACGAATAAACATGAAATGGAGAGGAGAAAACCGTCATTAAAGTTGTTTATTTTCTTCGAATCAAATCGATTCATTAAGCACAATATGAATATAAAGAGTGAAATAATAAGAGTGACTTTTAATGGTTACTACACTGAAAACAAAGCTCGCCTAGTTTACTAGCTGGTCATAAGCCCGAATAAAGAAGAAAGGTTGGGCATAGAGCTAGTAACCTTACCCCGGAAAACCAACCCAATAGCTAAAGAAACTTCAAAGCACAAAAAATAGAAAAATAAAAATGAACTCATTCCTTGCTAGAATTGGGAGACGAAATGACGCCGGTTGGTGAAAGCTTTTAGGAAGCGAATTGGCCGATACATCTCCTTTCGATGAAAGCAAAAGTAGACATGGAAAGTCCGCACAATGTTTGAAGCTAGCAAAGACCCTAGAAGATTTGAATTTCGCCGCCGATGATGATTTATCTCTAATGTTGCACAAACTACAAGAACAATAGACGAAAACCAACAAGTTGACAGAAGAGGGGAGGCAGCCAAAGAAGAAGGGACCTCAGGTGAACGTAGGTAAGACACAGGTGATGAAGATACTCAACCAACAACAACAAGCACTGATCACTATCAACGAGAAAAATCGAAAGGAAGTAGTATCTTTCACCTACCTAGGCAAGGCAGCACCGTTTCAACTATAGGGGGTGACACAGATGAGGATGTCAGAGCAGTCAGGATCGGAAAGACAGAAAGATAGGCCTTCGTGCATTATTCTGAAATCAGTGTGGAGATCCACCCCACTGCACTCAGCATAAAGCGTGAACAAGATCCGGATTTTCAACAATAATTCAGTCAAGTGAGTTAGTGCTTCTGTGTGATGGTTGAGATACTTGGCCGCGCGTTACGAATAGCATTTTCAACAAACTACAGACATACATCTTCAACAGCTGCTGCCTACGCTCACTCGATACTGACAGTGAAGATCAGATAGCCAGAACTCACTGTGGCCTGGCAACGAATCAACCAAGAACCCATCTCCCAACAAATACTCAGAAGAAAATGGAGATGGATTGGACTGAACATACACTGAGAAGACCGATTGGGGACATCACGCACCAGGCCAGGCCGCAGAGTAGAAGCCAAATGGGAATCGACGAGCTGGGCATCCGAGGCGAGGGTGACATGGAGGAGATCATGTGAAGAAGAAATGAAAGCTTATGGGCAGTGGTGGGGCCAGGTTGAAAAGATTGCAGAGAACACAGTGAAGTGGAGAAGTGTCAGTGAAGCTCTATGTTCCACTAGGGACCCACAGGACAAATAAATACTGAAAGCAATGGTTTCCAAATAACTGATTCCTTTTTGTTTATTACCCCGGGGTTAAGCTTATAAATCTATGAGATACAGTCGAAAACAGATTTTACTGGAAGACTTAAACCAACAGAGGAGGGGGAGGGGGAGAGTGATAGTAAATCAACTCCATTGGCTTGACTTCATCCCTCCACTTCTTTAATCAATAAAAATTAAATAATTTCTAACAAGTTTATTCCTTGAAACATGTTCGAGAACCAACTCTCAGAAACTTGATATTTTCATTTCTTTGATCTAAAATGTACTTGAAGGAGATCAACTGTGGTGCCAAAATTAGTTTCACATTGTAAGACAAATGGATCACACTCTATATCAACAATGCACAGAATTGGTCAACTAAGAATAATTACTTGAAAGAATGAAGAAAATTTACTGAGTTTACAATACCAATGAAAACTTAATAGACGCACAACACAAAAAGAAAAGATCAATTTGCAAATGACTCACAAATTGTACACTCCATGATCATATTCATAACAGGTGAGTAGTTTATCAACTACCCAACTCTAGTGTCAATAGAGTTTCCGTTGGAAACTAATCACTAGTCAACATCAAAAGGTGTGATCTCTGACACAAAAGTGTCACGTACTAACGAAATATGCTGATACTGAACAGTCTGAGTAGTTCGAAACCACTCAGACTGTCCAGTGTGTTCACATCCGCTCTGACCTAGCTGACGAAATCTCAAGTTGTTCAGAAGTATATTTCGTACAAGTAGAATTCTTCTCGGTATTATCAACCTGGTCGACATCTAGATAGCCTATTCTTAATTGTCATCGTGAAATTATCTTTGGTAAGTAGAAATGAAAACAACAGTCTGTACACTTTTGAAATACTAGAAATGCCAGTTTTCTTAGCACCTAATGTTTGTCTTGAACCATATTACTCTCACATATCATTTCATAACAAATAAAACTAGATTCTAGAGAGGTAATAAGCAACAATAAAAAACTAACATTCACAATAAATTAGGCAGTTCCAACTGATTAAACCTTAGGGAAAGAAGATACATCTCTTCGATTTCAGTTGGTGGATGAACGTACAGTACAGTCAGAAGAACGGCGTAGTTTACAATCCTAAGAGGCTGTCGACAATTTACTCTTCTTTGCCAACGACACATTCATCGTCATCTTGATTAAAGTCATTGCCGAATTCTTTGTTTCCTTCATCATAACTTCTATTCATTCGACAAGCTAAAACTGGAATCCAGTTAAAACTTCACGTTCAAAGTTAACTCTGTAGGATATGAATTTGACAAAGAATATCTCTAAAAGTATACAGCTCTCTTCAAGTTCCCACTTATCTGCATTCTGTAGCCAGCAATTCAGAGAGGAGTTTCTGAGTCGATGAACCTCACAAAACATTATGATGAGCTAAGTTCACACACATTACTGCACAACCACAAGAGGAAACCGATGAAACCATCAAACTACCAAAAAAAACCCCAAAAGATGGCGGTGGCTGTAACGAATGAACAATATGTCGACTTTAGAGTGTTGTGAAACTATTTGCACTAGTGATGTCTTCTTAAGCGTAATTCAAACTGTCTTCAGTTATTAATTACAACTGTGCATCGCATATGTCCGGTTGGTCATAAACTGCTTTCGAATGGCAGCACACACACACACATCAAGATATGCAGTAGAAGAATATGTTCAACATATGCTTGATATAACAAACTCACTTCGGTTATCTAATTACAAGTATTTTTATAAAACTTAATCACTCATTTAACTTAAGGGGAGTTTGTGAAAAGGTGAGCCAGTGAATGGACAAGCGACATGGAGCAGGATTTTCTATCAAACAACAACTATCAACATCAACTATGCCTCGTTGACAAAAGTGACACCTTTGTGTTTTTGAATTTATAAATCTTATCTACAACATCTCGATGAAAAACAAATCTGTTTTCAAATACATTTTACATTTCAGATCTTGTATTATTATTATTATTATTATTATTATTATTATTAGTAGTAGTAGTAGTAGTAGTAGTAGTAGTAGTAGTAGTAGTAGTAGTATTGGTATTATTATCCACCTTTCTATCTACTCAAGATATTCCGATGGATATATGAAGAAACTAAATAACTCAGGAAATGAAGTAACAGTACACTTATTTTCTCAAATTCCAATGAATGACTGTTGTAATTTCATTTGTGGAACTCTTCAATGCACTAGAAATTCCATCTCTGAGTATTCTTTCAGTCAGTAATAGGTTTGATGTGTAAAGTGAGGATAACCAGTCATACCAGAAGGTGATAATCTTCTACAGTCTTCAATTTTCATTCGATCAAGTATCTGAAATTGAGATTTACAATAAATAAGCCAAAACAGCTAGTAACTTGATTTATTGTTTCAATTTCATTAATTGTATGTTCATTTACCATACTAAGGAATAGAATGGGTAGAGGTTAACATGAGTGATGGGAAATTTTGAGGGAGACCAATCAGGTTGGAGATGTTGTGCTCAAGGTTACTCGCTGTGTCTGTTTACCTAAACGTTGACGCTGCATAAACGTCTTAATGAGTTGTGACGTAGATTACATTGAGGATTACTTGTAGAGAACTGGATGGCTTGCGAGAAGTCTAGATTGTGAATTTGTTTTTGTAATGGGTTGTGCGGCCATCAGTGAGAAAATAGAGGGTTTCATCTCTTGTTGTCCCAGCTTTCACAAGTAGAAATCTTTGGGGAGAGGATAGTTTTTCAAAAGATTTCATCCAATTTCCCAAAGAATATGACTTTATTACTACAGTGGGTTGTTGCAACACCTGCGATATCAGCAGTAACACTGACAAATGTTAGTGAATCGTCTTCAGTACATCGGTGATTACACTGTTTTCTGTTGACTGAACTCAGGTGAATCTGTAGGAAATAACGCATGAAGATATCTGCTGGGACAGGTTCTAGAGGTGAGCCCATTGCCTCTGCATCAATTTTTTTTGTGCAAAGGAGCAATAGCTGTTCCGATTTCAGGTAACACTCGTAGATCAGTTTGTTGACGGATTATATCAATCGTGTCACTCATCAGTTTACCTGTAAATAAGGAAGTCATATCGTATGACACCATGAGCTTGTCTTAAACGTTGACATGATATATTTCATGAGAAAATTCAAATGTATCTTTCAAACTGTGGATCATCAACTTACCCTGGATCGGTTCTAAAATGACCTCACTTTATTCAGCGAATTTCATCCTTGTTGATGTCAAAATGTTTTGGTAAAGGAATATGTTGGAATTTGTAGTTTTGCAATTGAAAGCATAACTCGTCCATTTTAATGTATACGCAAAGCAACCAAGTTAGTATTTGATGGTTTGAAAAAAATGGGCATTGGGTAAATGGTAGTCATTATTTCGATATTTTCATTCCCCAGTGCATATAAAATACAACAAACTGTTCTACACATCCTTTTGAAAATCCATCTATGCAAATAATGACGAGAACTTGTTCAGTTAGCTAAAAATCTAAATCTATGACGCTGGTAAGGAGTATAACTTGAGATTTCCTCATTTCAAAGGATTGCCGTGTATGAAAGTACTTTCACATGCCCAAATTACCGGAAATCAAAGTAATCCTTATTCTTTTCGAATGAGGAAACTAACTTATTGTTAAACTCTTCGACTGGTCATGAGTCTTGTGAGATAGTGCAGTATATTTTTATATTTTTTCTTCACCTTATACTAAACATCAATTTTTGGCGACTACAGATGACATGGACGACAGTTAATATTGTTAAGCAAATCCCCATTCTCACCATACGTCACCAAACTTTCAAGAACTTACCATTCCGAAAAGTTAAATTACTGTGTCTCTGACTGTGATATCTAGCAATACAGGTATGAATATTATGAAGAGTTAGACCTTTCATAAGGTTTTGTCTAGGTCTAACTGCTTCTTTCTAACAAGTGTGAAAGAAATTTTATCGACCACTTCCAGTCAGATGGTGCTCTAACATTATACAGATACTTTTGTCTCCTATATACTCAGAAGGTGTTCTTTTTGAGTTTTCTCTGCTTTACCAGCTTTCCTAGTAAGGGATTGTTGATAAACATGTTGATTTCAACCAGTGTATCATCAGTAAGAGAAATTTTAATCCCTCAGTCTTCCTTTTGGTTACGGTTTGTGTATAAAGTGACGATGAAAACATAGCACAGAGGTGATTTGATACTCATACTGATGTTATCACAGCGAGGTGGGCATCTTACTTTTAGAAGACCTGTGTTTACAGAATAGGGAAATCCACAGTTTATCCTAGTTGAAAATAATTATATGCAAAAGATAGTTTGGGTTGGTCAGAGAATGGTCAAAACCCTTTGAAAATCGTTTTCGTAGATAAGATAACGACCACTTCAAGCGGTTCTTAAAATCGGAAGGCTAGAAATCTGCTTGCATCAGTCAGAGAGTTGTTCTTGTTAACAGGAGATGGACAGTAAGGATTAGCTACGAAATCTCTTCCTACTTGGAGGTACTTTCCTTAGTTCTCCACTATCTCTTGTTCCTTCTTATTCATGAAAGATATGTCACGCATCACTAAATCTGTCATGATCATTTACGCTAATTAGGCACCATTCCGACAGAGTTAGAGGATGAATGTGACATATGCGCAACAAGATAGACACCTGCTGATCTAATCAGAATACTGGTTGCAGGTGACCAAAGTCAGTAAGTACCTTTTTACAAAAGACAGGTAAATGGCAAAAGCTACCACATTATAGCAATTGTTCAGCTGCGCTTTGTGAAGTATGACGATTTAAAAGGTATACAAAGGTTCAATTTAAAGAATTTATTGAACTCCCAGTCACTTTCAGGAATGGGTGGGTCCTTGGCTACTATAATTGGTGACATTTTCAGTGTCATACTCCACTTCAGTCAGATACACGCTCTTGCCTGAAAAAGGAAGCACTCAGATACTCTTCGAGTTGGGGCCTAGTAATATACATGGCGCCTGTGATGACAACCTTAACGTTCGAGAAACGACTTCAGGGTTTAAAAACCCTTTTATTGTACCATGTACAAAACGAGGCACTGTTATTGCTGTTCGGGATTCCAGTAAATGACTTTAAACCTGATTCTTCCCTTCTTTTCCTTTTCAAAACGTCATTGTAACATACAAAGTAGACAGCAACGTGATACATGCATTGTGCCAGCTAAGAATGAAGCTCAGCACCGAATATCAATTTCTCTCGCCATTTAATTATTCTTTAGGACCGGCTTCTAGAAGAAAAGATGTCTGCGTTAGTTACAAGCCAAGTAACTAAATTAGGCACCATGAAACAGCAGATATGCTGGAAGGGCTAATAAAGGTCTGTTACTTCCAAAACGTCTCCAAAAATCTGAATGTGGACAGCGAAGTGACACTATGAAGAGAAGACTAACAAAAGTAGGAATCAGCCAGTCAATTACTTAAATGAATAGAAATGTGATTGTGGCCTGCATATGAGCTGGGTGTCATCGTATTCACGCAAACACGGGCTAGCTTTCCTATGTCTAAAAATAAAGCACGCTTTAATGAATTTTCTCAATTTTCAGTATTGCAGGCTTTTATTTCTCACATGTGAATTAGTGAATAGCCTCAGTAGGTGTCTTCTGACATCCCCCTTATAGTCAAAGACAGAAAACTGTGTAAAGGGGTCAGAGTCAATGAAAATAAAGTGTCTTTATAGGATGATTTGATACATTTTCAAAACTATGCAAATAACAATGGGGTTACATTTTACCACATAGCATTAAAGGTACTATATCTAAAGCCTCCTGAAAGTCATGTCGCATAAAACTACAAGGACGAGCTGTGAAAATTATCTCGATGCTTTATTCCTTCCCTTAATCTTGCACTAGTAACTCCGTGACGAATTTTCTGATAGTCGAGTCACGGGGTTACAACTTGTTTTTGTCATTTCTTAGGGTCTCACCTAGGACTTAGTACTGCTGTTTTGCCTTTCTCCCTCTAAAAAGACAAAATCAGTCTGATAAACATTTAGAAGTCGGTAGATTCAAGATTTGAGAAGAGAAGGCTGTGAGCTTATGTATGTCCAGTTCTCTTTTCAACAAGTCAGAGGACGATCCAAACAACACTTCCTTCGTAAACCGATTCCAACAGCTGATTACTTTATGTAAAAATTAATACTCCCTAGCTATTGTCGCCTCGGTCTATTTCCCTTTAGTTTTTCGCACCTAGCAGGAAGAAAAAAAGAAGATAAGTCACATCCAAAGTCATTTCTTAAAGTTCTGCATGACAAAACTAAGTCTCCGCTTTGTCTATAATATGAAAAAGAGAAGGAGTTGAGCCTCTGAATCTATTTTGGTAAGTCAGACTAGCTTTAGCAGGGATCACGGAGGCGATTGTTTTTTGAACTCTTCCCAGAATATCTGAGTTACCGTCTGGGCGCAAGATTACCATTCATTTTCGGCCTTCTAAGTTAGATGTGGCAACAGCTTAGTTTAAGGCATTAAACTTACCAATTCTTACCCTGGTAAAAGCCATACGTACCGTTCAAATGATTCAAAGAAATCGAACTATGACTAACCCACAGTGCCCTATAGTTTTCTAAGAAGGACTTACTATGACTTCCAGGCAAGATAATTCTGAGAACTGGAATTTGAAATCCATAAGGAATAATTGGTAATGTTTAATTTATATCTTTTTGAAGTGGGGGACTAAGAAAGAGTCTGGGAATGAAATAAAATATGTGAAACATGTATTAATGATGCCTTCATCAAGATTAGTTGTAATATAAATCTCAGAGAACACAATCAGACGTTGAACCTACAAAAAGGATACGATGCACAACTAGAAGCTGTTGCTCCTTGCAATGCGCCTCTTAGCTAACGGGTAAGGACTAATTTGCTGGATACTTTAAACAATGACTCAACTCCTAACTGAAGCGTAAGTGAAGTTTCGATCACAAGTAATTTGTGTTGCATCCTTTTTGTTCTCTACACACAATTACGAAAAACGTAACCGGAAACTCAACGCCGTATGATCTAGAAGATAGTCCAGCAAACTCTCCTTCATGAAGTCAGCAAATATTTGATTACGTAAGGTATTGTTCGGATTTACTCCATCGCCCTCACATAAGGTGATAGATAAGCACTACCTATTAGCAACTTTAAAGTTGCCAAAGTTGTCAACTAGCATAATTATGCTAGTTTTTTTACACGTACAGCAAGCTATTTTGGAAGTAATCATTTTGCTAAAGCAATAAGAAAGTTAACAGATGTTAAGTTATATATATATATATATATATATATATATATATATATATATATATGAAAATATAACTTTTTTTACCTCTTGATAGTATCCATAATAGCCCACCTCATCCCATTTAGGTATTCGAGAGGTTCTATGATGGGGATCACCTTGTGATTGAGATGATGGCGTTTGGAAGTGACTATTCCACTTAACAGATGGAGGATGAGACGGGTAGTAGGCCGTGATTTTCTTATCTAAATAATATCATCGGTTATTTTGCTCATGAGACCAAACTAACAATTGGGAATGTCCCGCCTTTTAAGAAAATTAACGAAATCCTTTTCAGACTGAAAGTCGACAGCATCCCTGCGAGTCAGTCTTGGAAGTTCAAAGTGTTCATTGTAAGTTTCCCAACGTCTTTCTGATGGTATGTACCATCCAGCTCCGTTAAAAAGTGATGTTTTCATACTTTCATCGCTGTTGTTATACTCTGGTTTTGCTATTCTTGTTCTGTCATCAGCTTTCAGAGTGCTGTAAGCATCACGACTCGCTGTCATTATCCCAGAAGAATTAGGTGCTTAGAACTTCGCGAAGGTCAAGTAACCATGACAACTGAATTCAATATCCAACATCAATAGTGCAAGTAGAGGAAACTTGTGGTTTTTGAGCTCTCACTTCTAGGTCTCGAGGACCCATCCATCTTATCCTGATAGAGATTTTGCCGCATTTCCATATTCGCCTTCATATCTCGCCTCTTGACCTTCTGCCGCAGTTTCATACCTCTTTTCAGGTATAGTGGTCAATTGACGCTCAAACTTCAAACTTCGTGTTGTAGAATAAGTGAACTGTGGTCCCTTGGTATGTACGTCTGTCTTATTGGAATACGTTCTGAGTTTGGAATGGTCACAATTATCCTCCCGGTTCTGGAAAACCTGAGAGGATAGAGATACGATTAATTAATTAATCTGGTCTCAAGTTAGTATTACTGCATCTGATCTGGGGAAAGCTTCTAGAGTACAGACTATCGGTACTGTAGGACTCGAGGCGTGCGTCTAGCCTCTTTTTAAAAGTGTCAGGGGATGGGGCTGTAACAGCTGCTGAAGGGAGGGAATTCTATAGTTTCCAGACTCTAACCGCAAATGAGTTGGCACGGATCTTTGTACATGCTCTCTCATGCTCTATTCTCAGCTGGCTACCCCTCAGTTTGCGTTTCCGATCAAAGCTTAGGAAGGATCTGTTAGGGTGGAGGAGATTATGGGAGATGTGGTACGTCATGATCATATCCCCTCTGATCCTCCGATATTGTACTGGGTGCAGGTGAAGAGCAACTAAGCGGTCTGGGCGCGGTTTGTGCTATAGCCCAATCACTTTCTTTGTAGCTCTTCTCTGTACCCGTTCTATGATGGTCTTGCCCTTTTTCAAGTATGGGGACATTACAGGCTAATTTTTCTCTACATGAGGACGAATGTACGGAGCATACGCTGTGGTGAAAAGATAAGGAGTTAGACACCCTAAGGTTCGTGAGAGGAACCCCAGGATTCCATAAGCCCTATTGGCTGCAAGGCGACAGTGAACAGAGGCTCTTATTGTATCACTTAGTGTAACTCCCAGATCTTGTTCCATGTTAGAGTGACAGATATTTATTTCACTCACAGAGTAAGAACTGGGACTGCCTTTATGTTTGTCAACTATCATAATTCGACACTTCTTCGAGTTGGGACGAGGCAGGTCTTTCGTAGTCCAATTAAGGATTTTCGTAAGGTCCTCCTGGAAGATCGAAATTTCCTTTTGTCCCTGTATTTCCCTGCAAAACTTCAGACCATCGGCATATGATAAAGAATGTGAATTAGGGACCCCTGGTCATTGATAAAAGCAAGAAACAGTAGTGGGCCCAGTATGGAACCTTGAGGTACACAACTCAGCATCAGGAACCAGTTAGATAGAGAGAGGCTGACTCTGACTGCACCCTGGTTTACAGATAATCTCTAAGCCAGATTTACAATTTTCCGTGTACGCCCATGAGCTGGAGTTTCCTACAAAGGATATCATGATTTACCTTGTAAAGGGCCCTGGAAAAGTCAAGTAAACCAATGTGTATAGGCTTTTTCTTCTCGACAAAGAGTGTCCAGCTATTCCAAGCTATCAACAAGTTGGTGTTACATGACCTTTCTGGTAGGAAGCCACGCTGACGGTCGTTTAGGGTTGATTTCTAAAGTAAGTGATCACGAAGTGAGTCATTTATGACTCGCTCCATGACCTTCGCAACTGAAGAGACCGGGGAGATTGGTCCGTAGTTGGAGGCGATGAGTTTGTTTCCAGCTTTATAAGTTGGGACGACAACCATCCGTTTCCAATCAGAGGGTAACTTGCCTTCCAAAAACGAGCATTTGAAGAGGTTTGCTGGTGGGGCACGCAGAACTTCAGCACACACCTTGGGTGCTCTTGGTTGAATGCCATCGATTCCTGGAGACTTATTCGGGCTCATTTTCTTTAACGTTGCTACAATTACAGAGGGTTTGAACTCCTCATGGCTTAGTCCCTCTGCAATACGGGTGTCCGATAGGGGCGGGGTTTTGCCTCCCAAATGACAGTTGTTTTGGAATTCATGAGCCAGTATGCTTGCAACTCCGGAGTTGGAACAGAGGATCTCCAGACCAATGGGGTCCTGCAAACTTAGTGAACAATTACTCTTCTGTTTCATCAGGATGTACAGCATCCCATGATTCCCCTCCAGAGTCCTACAAAGTTGTTTCTGGTGGTTTATTCTGTCATTTCTGGTCTTTACTGTGCATTTGTTACGGATATCTTTATAATTTAGCCAGTCAAAAGGGCTATTAGTACACCTCCATAGATTCCAAGATGACCGTTTAGGCCGTATTACTTTGCGCGTGCTAGACTTAAGCCAGGAGTAGTAGGACTTGTTAGTTCTTCTTGGGATCAGCGGGGTGTTGTTTTCTATCGTCTGTAGGATTATATTCTTCAACAGACCCCATCTGGCGTCAAGATCCAGTAGATCATCGTAATCTAAGCAAGCGGAACCTTCTAGATCTTGCCGAACCTTCTCGAAATTAGTTCTCTTGTAATTCCTAACTATAGACTGGTCGGGAACGGGTGGCTTAGATCCAGAAATATTGAAGGAGATAATTGCATGGTCACTCAGGCTAAGAGGGCTGAAAGCATTCAAGTTGCTTACACCAATGAACTGATTCGTGAAAATATAATCTAGTCGGGACGCCTTACCATCAAGCCCCCAGCGAGAACACCGGGAAACATGTTCTGTCGAGGAATTTCCCAGCAACAACTCCCGAAAGTCTTTTAGAACAGTAGATGGATTTTCTGTAGTAAAGGGTTGGGGAAAGTTAAAATCTCCCATAATAAGGACCTGTGGGAAGTTCAGTTTCAGGGTTCCTCTAATGGACTGTATTAACATTTTATATAACGTGGCATCAGCTGCAGGAGGATGGTATAAAACTCCAACTAAACACGGACCTCCGCAGCACTTAATACTACACCAGAGGACATCTTTAAAGCCGATTCTGTGAGGTTGAATCTCATGGACTTTTAAGAAAGGGCGGATGTGAAGATGAACTCCACCTCCTGGACTCTCCGGTCTATCCTTTCGGATTAGGCTGAGCTATCCTGAACGAACGCCCCCGTCTTTTGTGTTCTTTGATAGCCATGTTTCACAGAAAGCCCTTATGCTAGAGCTATCCTCAGCCACTAATAACCTTAACTCAGGTACCTCGAAGAGTAGGCCTCATACATTGTTGTAGGTACAGAGAATAAGATAATGAGGGCCGGAGGTTCCAGGAACCGGTTGAGTTAAGAGTGAGTTGCCAGCCTTTAAATGGCCGGCTTTGAAAAGTTTTTTGGTAGGGCGGTGGAACAAAGGGCTACTGTATAAGTGAGGTGTTATATCTGTCTTGTAGAACTACAAAGGTCTGAGATCTCTTAAAAATCTCACAAAAAGTTTTTCTGGTGGGTTAGGTGTTTTTCCACCACTTTGTGTTGTGATTCCTGGAGTACAACTTTTGATATATTTTTCGTGGAATTTTAACATGCAGGCTAGCCTACCTTACTTCTTCATCTCATCCATGGCTGTCTACTCTAGAGATCATCTGAAGGGTCGTAAACCAGGGCGGAATTTTCTATATCTGGAAATTGGTTTTTCATGCAGTGCCGTCTGAGACTGCACTTAGCTTCAGGCCTACCTAGAGTAGCTGGTAAACTACCATTAACCACCAAAAAACAGGTGTCCGTCCAAACTACTACCTTGGAGGAGATTTACTCTCCAAAGGATTTCGGTGATCGCCTACCATAGGTCGGGAGCCTGAGAAATTCTAAATCAAACAACAGACCGCCCACATTAAGGGCAACCACAATCATCTCCAAGCCCTGGGGCCACATAAGTGATTACAACCAGTGGATAGCATGTGGAATTAGTTACGGTGGAGAAAAAAGCTGGAATTACCTGTGAAAACGCGCCCATAGGATCGGATAATTTTGGCATTGCTGGCTGGCCTAGCTCCATCATACTACTAAACGTTCTTGTATGCAATGACAGCCTTCTGGAGCATAAGGAGACGTTTGGCAGGGAGCAGTGGAACTCCCTTTGTGTAATGCTAGGTCTGGGCACCCTCGAGGCAAAACTGTGTTGACTGCGCAAAGGCACTGATTCATCCCCAGGGAAGGCCCCACTGACGAGGGCAACTCTAGGTTCAACTAGGGACGCCGAGAGGTTCCTCTTACCGTCACACAACCTGGTCATCACCAGATCGTCCAGGATTGGAGTTAGACCTGACCGATCAGTTGTGTCAAGAAGGATACCTCGAGAAGCATCTGAGCCGCAGAGACCCAAAACCATGGTCATAGATGGAATGCCTAAATTGGCGACCACTACCCCAGGTGATAAGCTTGCCCATGACGTCCAACAATAGGATTGATTAACAGCTTGGATGCAGTTAAGTGGGGTTGCAGCGGTGGCAATTTCCAGACTGCCGCGCCCCTCGCATCCGACAACCATGGCCTCACCTAGGCCAATGGCCGTCAACTTCGAATCCCGGAAGATCTTACCAGGGTGCAGGAGACGTGGTATGAAGTCAACAGCACCATGGGCGGAAATGTTCACTGTTGTGGAAGCAGACCAAGAACACCACGGCAACAATGGACAGAGGTTACCCCCCTTACTCAGGCCTCCATCATCCTACACCGACGCGCTGAGAGTCAAACCGGAAACCTAGCACCAACTGCACCGATGGACCCGGAAAAAACTTGGCCGACTGGTTCCACTGGAACTGGCTAGACCGTAAAAACCCTCACTTCCAAGCCTGTGCCACTAGTTAACCCAGAGACGTCTCACATTACGAGGAGCACATTCGAGCGTCTTTACAGAAACGCGAGAGGATTGCGAAGTTAAATGTCGGAACTCTGACCCCTCTGTTCCTACCCTTTCCCGAAAATCATAATCCTGACGGAAATGCGGTTATCGCCGGACATCAGTGACACCGAAGTTAACATATATGACACGTTTTTGTCCAAGAAGGACGGGGAACTCAGTGACGGAGAGGGGGTGGCGATATACTTGAACAGTT